ATGACAACTGTGGGGTTCACACAATTTACCCGAATCTTGAAAAGTGAAGAAAGGCAATACAGAATGAATGCATGGTTAGACTAAGCACCCAGCAGATACATACTCTGTCTTTAAAGAAGGCACAGTCTAGAAATGTTGATGGTCTAGAATGCTCATTAATATTGGTAATCTAGAATTATCATTCCTCATAACTGGCCATGTTGGCTAAGGTCAAACGGGAGTTGGAATTCAGCAACATTTGAAGGATCACACATTCATCCCTGCTTTTTGAGGTTACTCTTAAGGAATTAACATTTTAATCAGCTGGCTCTCTTGGTGAAATGTATCACTGGGTTTTACTGAACCCTCTTCCTTCAAAATAAGTGTTCATTTTTTTGCAGGTTTGATTTATATTAAGCTCTACACAGTCACCTAAGGACAAAATGTTTTATTTTTGTTTGTTGTTTCTCCATTGTTTCATCTTATCTTGCTCTTCAGGCAGAGGTGCTTACCTTATGGGGGCCTAATTCCAGAGCCATTGACTTTGTCAGCATATCTAAGGCGCTCTTGGTTGCACCTTTAGGCAAACAGAAAAAAAATAAGTGTATTAAAAGCTCCCCTTTCTTCCTCTTCTCCTTGCTTTTGCTTTACTTTCCTGCAGTGATACTCACTATAGACAGTGTGATTTAACATAGCCCGTTGGGAAACCTGGCTTGAAACATTGACAATAACTCCTGGTGCTCTCCTGGCAATCAGTTTCTGGGCAAAAATCTAAGACAACACAGAATTTATCAGACATTTATCATTTGCAATTTAATGATATCCAGGGCATCAATGTTAAATATAAAGAGAGTTGTCAAAGCAGTGAGGTGGAGATTTATTTCTGAATAAATGCATACAGGATGGAACCACAAATCCACCTTCCTTAAGACAATAATAATCTTCCATTTGTTAATGGAAGTTTTTGACTGACTGTTTCTACAATCCTACATGGTCTTTCCAACATCATGCAAATTTCTCACCTGGGAGACCTGTAGCACAGCCCGAAGATTGACACTGAACGATCTACAGGTATATAAAAGGAAAGTCTGATTAAATACATCAAGAAAAGCCAATGCAACAAAATGGAAAACTGCTAGAAGCCCAAAGTGCAGGGATTGCATACTAAAGCCCAAGTAGTCTTCCCCATCCCACCACCAGTTTCAGAAAACAAAGGAATTATCAGGTTGCTAAAACAAGTCTGCAGATTTTTTAAAATCAAGGACAAGAAAAACAATTGTTCGGCAAACTAAAGCAAATTAACATCTGAAGCTCAGTTTTTATTCTAGAAGAACATTTCATTATATTTACCCTTCAAAGTAGAATGGAAAAGGCATAAGGTTGAAAATCAGAACCTACAGCAGTGGTTTCTAAAACCAAATTCTCACATTTCCCTTTAATTATCTGGTATTAATTGTGGATCCTATTTTATTTAAATTTTCTATTTTTTACATCTTTTCTTTGGCCTGGATTATTTCTTTGTTTGCTTGCCGCCCCCTCACCGTGATTACCTGTCAAAGGCTTCCTTAGTAACCTGTAGCAATGGCTGCAAAACTGCTACAGCAGCATTGTTCACTAACAAATCAATATCTTCCACTGTGCTTAGTGCAGCCTCTGTAGCTTCCCAGTCTGCAAGGTCAACACACACTGTCTGGATGCCTGGGCACTGAGGACAGAAGTAACATTAAGGAAGATAGGGATTGAAGCCGATTACAAACCAGGGGAGTTAGGACCGCTAGTCTCAAGTGACTTTTCTTACAAAGAATACAAAATAAACTTTACCAGGACAGAATACTGATTTCAAACAAAGGTCCAAATATGTAGTTCCTTCATGAAGCTTGAACTGCAAAGATATTTTCATACAATATTCCAATTTTGGTTTTGATACTCAAAAAGAATAATTTGGACATCTGTAATTCTAATTAGACTCTTCTATATCCTGCAACAATAACCTATAATAAAAAAACATGCCCTTGAAACATGTTTTACACTATGTGAAGAATGGCAGGTGAGTACAATTTCCCTTTTCATGGCAATTCTGTGAGAAAATGATGAGAAATGCAAGAAATAGCTTATTTTTAAATCAGTGCTGTTCTGCGGACATAGATTGCAGGTGGCTATCTGATAGTGGTAGCTTTTGAATGACACTCTCTAGCAAGCCAGGCACAAGATCTTAATCTATAAAACCCAGGCATTTCCAGATTAGGTCAAGCCATTTTATTCCCTTTCTATGACAGACAAATGTCCAGAAAACAGGGTGGAAGTTAATTTGCTCTTCTGTCTTTCAGTACAGCCTAAAGGCTAGAGCAGCTGGTAAAAAATGGGGATATCCCTGAAGCTTTTCTGTGACCTTGGTAGGACTGCTGCAGATTTTGTCTTAAAAGTATTTCAAATGTTTGGGTAAAGGGCAAAGGGAAGGAAGTCTATAAAAATGGCTAGGACCAGTCAATAATCTACTCTAATTTTAACTGGAAGAAATTATTCCTTCAACAGCTAGTGGCACTGGATACTCTGATTAATTGGTTACCCTGAGGCATGATAAATATGTAGTGGAAAGACAGGGTGGAAGGTCTGCTTTTGCAATGGTTAAAAATCACAAGCCATGCACTTGGCACACATGTGAGTGGTGAAATGTAGTATCTGCTTAGGAATTACAATATCTCATGATCTGCCCATTCTATTGCAGATCTACCTCAATTAGTTGAGATCTGGCACCTATAGGGACTTTTCAGACATGTACAGGAACATGCATCTGGGATATATAAGGACTTTTCTTTTTGAGGGTGGGCTAACAAAAATAGGATGCATCTGGAGTGTAGCTCCACTCACAGAAATGAACAAGCTTGAGGTAATAAGGGCCCTACAGAATGAATTTCAAGGTTTATCTAGACCAGTGATTCTCAAAGTATGGTTTACTCTTTCAGGGGGATGGCGGAGTATTCTATAAATAACATTTCTCAGCTTTAATTTATAACATACTGCACAATGTTATAACCCACACAAATCAAAACTTTTGGGGTCCTCAATCACTTTTAAAAACTAAAGAGATACCCAAGCTAAAACTTTTGAGAACTGATCTAGTCCAATATGTAGAGACCCCAGTGGAAAAGCTGTCTCATATCACTGTTTCCCAGAAGCAAAGCCATCCTTCCTCTGAGCTAGAGGCAACCCCCGCTCCCCAAGCCTGACGCTCCAGGAAGAGACGATTTCCCTTCGGCCAGAGGAAAAGCGAGGGTCGGGCCACGCAGAAGCCAAAGAAGATCCACAACTGGCCACAGGCTGAGCAGGCAGGAGCCACTCTACCTCTTTTTGCAGGCTCTCGAGATCTGTCTGGGTCCGGCTCACCGCCACCACCTGAGCCCCCGCCTGGCTTAGCCGTACCGCCACAGCCCTGCCGATCCCTGCGAAGGGGAGCACAACGTTGTTGCACGGGGTTAACACGGCGGCGGGGGGGTCGTCCCCGAAGCGCCAGCATTGCTCCAGCAGCGCGGCCCTGGGGACTCTACCTTTGCCTGCACCCGTCACCAAAGCGCGGCGGCCAGAGAAGCACTCCATCCTCCGCCGTGGCTGAGCTTCCAGTCGGCGCTAGAAGGGAAGGGGCGGCGCCCGAAGGGGCTTCCACAAAGGAGGAAGGAAACCCTCCCTCTGCTGCCGCCGCTGCTGCTGCTTTCGCCCCTCTCCTAAACAGCTCCTGGGTGTCCTGTTTGCAGTCCCGCCCTAGGACGGGAGAAGAAAAGAAAGGGATGGGAAGAGAAAAAAAAAATCCAGGCTTCTTTTCCATGCTCCGTCAGTTTCTCTTTAAAGAAGAAAAAAAGAGCCGGCCCTATTTATTTATTTTTCTTATATGTATCCACGTATTCATAACTATGTTTTTACTTATACCTATTATCTTGTAAGCAATTGACAAACCAAATAAAATAAAATAAATAAAAATAAATAAAAATAAATATTGGGAGCGCCCGAGCCCGGCTTCTGGCGTCCTTCGGGGCACCGGGTGTAAAACCGCATCCGGCCAGCCGCTCCTTTGTCTGAAGGGGAGGTTCCCGCTTCCTTGTGTCGCCATGTTTTTTTTCTCCCGTGGACGGTGGAGGAATCAAAGAGTTTCACGTATTGGTGGTGTGGGTCTCTGTCACAAAATCGGGGCCATGCAAGGCTTCTTGTATTTTATGATACCGGCCCATTGCAGGCTGCTAAATTGCAGGCTGGTGAATGTATCGTTAACTCCATTTGGAGTTAAATGCAGAGTAACAGAAAGTAATTCAATAAGAACATCGATCAATTTTCCACAATTAAGTCTACTAAATGTTCTGCTCTGGAGGAGGCCAGTTTTGAACAGCTGACAGCCCGATAGTGGCCGTGGGCTTCGGTGATATGGAATCCCCAATGTATTCCTTAGAGGAGGGGCATTAAGATCTCTGCGGTACCTAATTTCATGTGTCATTTTTTTACTAAGACATAATAAGGATGAAAGAAAAATTGAATAAGGAAAACATGGGGAAAGTATAGTGCAGGTCACCTCTAAAGGAAAAAGCAGCATAAAAACAACTTGTCACTACTCAAAGCTGTATCCTGACCAACTCAATTCTTTGTAGCAGATGGATGTGCATTACAATCAAGCTTCCATCTACACTTTAAGTTATTTTTAATTTTAACAATCTTGGTTTCAACTTTTACATTTTTCTGTGCCTTGACTTGATGGCAAAGACTTGGTTTCAATTTTGGATGTCAAAATAAAATGTCCATCAACTGTATCAGGAATGCCCAGCAGAAATAATAATACATGCAGCTATCATTATCTCCAAAATGAGTTGTCAGTATTGTTACATTTTTCATCAGGTGGTGCTCACAATCAGAACTGGTCTGGAGCTTATAGCACGCCAGATAGGGCACATCAGACAATCCATCTAGATTGGGTCATAAAAGCTTTTTGATGAATGCTGATATATTTACAAGAAGGATTCTGTACAATAGTAGTGACTCAGAAATAACTTTTATTAAGTGACCAAGTCTATCATGGAGCTTGTGGAAAACCCTCAAAAAACCTCATGATTCATCCTTTTACAAATACATTTACTAAAACTCACGTTCTCAAATATCCAATCTACTGGGTGTTGGTTGGGTGTATCACATCAGGAAGTCTAGATGCAATATGATATTTTAAGATTCAGATGATGGCCCAGCCAACAGAAATATCTATTTCAATATCTTGAAACAATTCGTGGTTAGAAAATATTGAAGACCAATCACTTGGGACTTGATTATAACAGTGGAGAACTTCTGAAAAGGTAAGAAGGAAAGCAAACTTTAAAAGGCCATGAAGGAAAGAGGTTCTGGTATTGCGTAGAACAGAGAAGTTGCTAGGGATTGGCTTGTGTCATATTCATTGTAAGATATGACATTTCTAATATTTCTACTGTGGTTCCACAGGAGTACAGTTGGCAAAGCAGAATTAACAAAAATACTTTGATTATACTACCTTCCCAAATAAGAACACTTGTCCTAATAACCACAAAAGCTATGCTTTGTTCCAAACATTTCTATAAATGTCTTTTTATCAGCCATATTGCTACAGTGCCAGACTGCAGCTTTACTTTGAAATTGTATTAATACAATGTAGGAAAGATTATGGCTCAGCAAAGATATATTTAAGATTCCAAAAGAAACACTGCAGATATTTATAATGTGCACCAGACCAAGGTTCTCAAGTATCATATTGGAGTGTGGCTGGTTTATTTGGGATTTGCTTTGTCTTTCTTCTTCCTCCGATACGTAGCTCTAGCTATTCATTTAAAGAAAGCTGTGTAAGAGATTCACAGGAAAGGGGAGATGTCATTTCACTATTACGGTAGGGCACCACAGAGTTTCAGGGTAGAGGAGGCAGTGAACAGATTTGAACCTGCAAAGAATAAGGTAAGAAGTTATACTCTAATCCCGCAAATATATTATCCAGCTATTTTCAGTTTTCATGTTTGAATTTCTTAACAAGTAGGATAGAGGTTTAGGACATAATGTACACACCGAGTTGGATCTTGTTGTATACTGAATACTTCACCCACACTGACAACGTTGCGTTTATTCTCAGGGCCACCATAACTCAAGGTAACCTAGAAAAAACACACATTGCCCACATATTCAAAACTGTACTTTTTAGAAAGAGTTAATTAAAAATTGGAACACATTCAAGTCCTAAAACTGAATTCTACAGTTAATATAATTACTTATCAGGGATTGGAAATATATTACAGTCTCTCTAGGATTAGGACCAACTGAAACATCTTAGTTGGGGAAGGGGAAATGAATAAAATCCCACAACTGCTGCTATCAGGTTAAACAATCATTAAACTATTATAGGGGGGAAATCATTTTTTTTTAATCTCCTTATAATAGCCATCTTACTTAAGGGAAGAAATCAAATATTTGTTTTTTTATCTTTGAGTATACATTACTGGATGTGAAAGTAAGGCCAACATAATCAGGATCAGTTTTTAAAATACAAGTAATCCTTGTTTAGTGAACATTTGGTACTGGCAATTTGTTATTAAGTGGCTAGTAAGGGAAATTGCTACTGTGCTTATGATTTTATTTCAGCTTTCCTTTCCAGGACAGATCTGTGAAAGTAATAAATGTGAAGATTGGCTGTAAAGTTATTGTTTCATCACTGCTGTTACTTGAACAGTTGATAAACAAGGCAGTCACTAAACAAGGACAAGGTATTCATAAAATTAACAAAAGTTCCCTGGAATCCCAGAAGTATAGTGTTTATGTTATTTTTCTGCATTGTCCCTCGTTTTCCACAAATAGTATTCAAATAAGTATACAAATTTGACACTGACATTTTACTTCTTTCCCAATTGTTTTATGCACATCTTCAAAACCTAGCCTTTGCCTCAACAATAATTGAAGAGCAAGTAACTCTTATTGTTTACATTTACTTAGAAAATGCCCATCATTTCTTCTCCTTGTTCTTCCCATTGCCATGAGAGAAATTCACAAAAGGCTTTTATATTTTGATTGTACTACATCAGCACTGTCGCAGATGACAAACTTGCAGCATAGTCTCAGGAAGAAACTCCCATGAAACAGACCTTTTTAAGGAGGGAAGAGGAGGTAGGGGAGGCAAGATGCTTAGTTTAGGAGAGTTGTCCTTACTTGTCTGAGTGCAGCTCTACCACGCAGCCGCTGTAGGTTTTCCAGATGAGAGTGAAATAAAGGGCTGTGTAACAGTTTCACTTCCAAGAGCCCCTCAATGATGTAGCCAATGGTGCAATCATCAGGGAGGCGAATTCTCTCTGCAGTGCTGATAAAGCTGCCAAGGCTACAGAAAGCAAAAGTCAAGGAATGAATCTCTCCTTCCTTCTATTTGGGCCACAGGTGGGAGCAAGCATTCCAACTGCACCTACCTAGCCCATGGGCTCATCTTGAGGGCCAGGCCTCTGCTGATGCAAAATCCAGCACCACCTGTGGCAAACCAGAATTTTGTAGTGGTCTAGCAAAATAAATAGAGATGTGTTAGAACAGCTGAGCATTCTTTTTGTGATCAACTAGACGTCATCAAATCTGACTATTAGAAAGCCTCAGAAATTGTTCGAACTTCAGGAAGCCAATCTTAAACCAAATTTAAATTTGAAGAAACACACCAGACTTTCTTTGTGTATAACCAATTCTTCATATAGTTTCAATGAAATTGGTTCAAGCAGACTTATGGAAGCAGATATGTATAGGATTGTAATCGTAATACTATTTTCTATGGCTGTAGAAAAGAATAATCAGAACAATTAATTATAGAGAAACAGCCAATTGTAAGTAAAGGGATGAAAACACAACTGTATCTATAAATTCAAAATTAAATTTTGTAATTTGTTTAAAATATTAAAAACTGCACATTTCTTATTTCACATTAAAAGGCTTAGATCTTTTAATTTCTTTTGTTCTGAAGTGTTAGATATTTACAAATATATGTTATCTATAAGTTGCATAATTGCCTAATTACTAAAAAAGGATCATTATTTCCATACTATGCTCTTTACTGTAGGATACAAATAAAAAAGATTATTAGACTTGCTCAGACATGATAGCATCATCTGATTTTTTTCCTATAATAACAGCAAAATATATGTTAATTTCTATGCCAACAAAGTGGGCTGTGTTTTTCTAAGGCAATCTTGTAAATAAAGCTTTCAATTTTATTAGGCGCTATGACTGGCAGTGAAGGATGGAGAAGATGGCATTTAACCTAAACCAAAATGATTGAATTGCCCTCCTCTAGTGATTATTCTGGTGTTTCTGCTGGATATTATTCTTCCATCAGTTTACTCATTTTGGTTGCAAGACATACAGTCCTCACTAACCCTAAACTGGACAGGCAGCTCCATTGCTAAGTGGCTCCTCACATGATCATGACTTTTCTTTTTGTCTGGAGACAAGAGTAGTTAAGTTTCTCACCTTGGGCTTTTGTTTGCCTCCAAATCATTCTATTTTGTACAAATCAAAAGCAATGTGATCACATTGGCAGTCTGGGGCTGGAATCTCTGCCCTGGGAGAGGAGAAATAGGAATGGGGAGAAAAAAAGCAAGTAATTTTTGTAGGCTATTTCTTCTTTGCCTGAATCTTTCCCACTGCCAGTGCAATTCCATTGTTTTCAATGTGCAGAAGAGCAAACCACTTGCTCTCTTAAAATCCCTCTTTAATATGTCTGTCTGGGGAGGGGGGAGGAAATGCAGAGAGGCTCTCCTCTGTCACCTCATTCCCTCCTGCTTTGCAGAGTGGAGAGATTGAAGAAGGGATTTAGAGTACTGTAAGCTATTTCTATAGCATGTCTGTAGTTCTCATCCCTGGGCTGCTAGCACAATTCCATTGTTTTCTATGTGTGGAAGAGCAAAAAGGTTACTCTCCCGCAATCTATTTATTTCCAATCCCTCTGTACTGAAGGGTGAGAAAAATCACGCTCAGGCACAAGATGAGTACTGATTATAATGGCAATCACATGACTGAGGGACACTACAAAGGTTGTAAATTGGGTATAAAATTATTTTTCAGTACAGTTGTAACTTTGAACAGTCACTGAAGACATGGTTGATAAGTGAGGACAATCTGTAATAAGCTTTTAAATGGCGTATTGAGTGTTGCAATCCAAAGTGGGTGAGATGGAATTTTTTCAAAACTTAAGGTACCCACTTTGTTCCTAAAAATCTTCCACCCTACCTAATCCCAAATAATGCCAAAAACCCAGCTGAAATTTGCTAGTTCTAGTAATTTTAAGAAGGGGAGTCTCTGGTAGCACCTTTTGAACTTCTGCCTAAAGTACTGCTATCAAGTGCTTTTGACTAAGGGCAGCTCCAATGGAAAGATCATAAATATGGTTATCATTTCTGCTTATTATTCTGAACTTATTAAGCACCTGTGTCATAAACATAATCCAATTATGGACTGATAAACTGGAAGGATAGATGGCAATTCTACACCTTGTTTCTAAAGGATGCAACCTTTTTATATTATTCACAACAGGTTATATTATATGGAGGGAGAGAGCAGTAAATTTAAGCCAGAGGGGAAGCACTGCTACTGGAAAAAAAATCTATCTATCAGCAGTCAATTCAGTACAACAAAGGGAGCAATATAGTCTGAAACATCTGCAAAAATCAACTTCAAGTCATGCCTCTTAGGGAAGTGTTGCCCGCTCCCACACTGGTGGGATAGAAAACTAACAAAGCAGGGTGAGGAATTCTAGATGAACGTAAACGTGCAAGATTACAAGGATCTGATTTTTCTCAATTCATGAAAACCAACAGTGAAAGAATCCGCTCACAGATCCATCATTCCGGAGATGGTCTGCTGCTTCAATTGGATGGTCCAGACTTGGTCTTCCTATATATATATCTTGGCTGTGTGAAAAAGCAGATAAAAGACTCAGGAGGCTCTTCAAATTCACATAGTTGTCATCGTCTACATGGCAAAACCACCTGCAGAAAATGCAGAAAATAAAATTGCAGTGGAGGTCATAACAAAGATATAACAGAGCTCTCTTTAAAGAAGATCTCATTTTTCAGATCTATGCATTGCTGACAATGCAAATGACATAATTAAAATGCCTGGGAATGGGGAGAGAACAAAGGGAGAAAATCTTTTCAACTACATAAAATTAGATCAAACACAACATTCTCCTATTTTATCTGCTGATCACAAGAATAGCAGATACTAATTGAGGAAGCCAAAAGATAAATGAAAGTACCGTAACTATTTATGAAACAAGTGATTTCCACTTACTTTTGCCCAGACTCTAGAAATTTATCATATTCCACAGACATCTTGCAGCAGAGAGCTTGGCGGGTGTGAACAGCTGAGCAATTTGTATTAATTATATGATCCCCTATAAAATAAAATTGATTGCAAAGGAACAAGCTATGTAGTTTCTGATAGCAAATATAATCATATTCATAAATGAAGAAGAGCCCTGAGTGTTATATCACATCTATTGTTCTATGCCGCTCAGAGTCACCTTTGGTGAGATTGGCAGCTACATAAATTTGATTAATAAATAAACAATTATCCAGTGCTAGCTGTGAAGGATCTGGACTGTGCATCAAATAATGTCATGCTGTAAGAATATGAAATGGAAAAAACAAATGGGCAAGCTTCTGAAGTTTTCACCAGGAATGTAAGAAAATTATTATATCATTTAATAGTGCTATAGGTTTTTTTTACAATTCCATGTTCCACAACTATAAAGCTGCAACATATCTTACAGTATAGTAAATTGAGCTCTGCAAGTACTATTTATCATTACAGCTTCTGGAACATTAACAGTCTGAAGGAATTTAAAAATATAAGCATCAATGCAAAATTCTCAACGGAGGCAAATAAGGAAGCATTTCAAAAAGAAAATAATCTTTTTGTACCTAGAAGTGGAAATAACTGAGTGTAACATCATAAACTAAACTAAATCTAACTCTGGACAGCATCTATTCCTTGCCTCTCAGGACAGGAACTGGTTCCTGCACTCCTCAATACAATGTCTGAGCAAGGGATCGTCTTTTTGCAAAGCATATGGTCTATATAATCCTTTCTCTAAAAGGATAGTGACTGGTAAGAGTGATTTGCATCTTATTTTAAATATAAACCTGAAAAGTGAATAACAGTTTACCTGCTCTGAGATACAGCTCACGATCTTCCCCGTCTGTGAATACAAACGTCTATAGGATACAAATCAAGAATTACTCATCTTCTGAAGATTTCAGAGTAATATTGTTAATTTCAGTCAGAATGTTATATTGGTTTCTCACAGCCTCAAGCAAAAAAAGGAATCTTTTTTCCCCTTATTATAGGTTTCAAGAGTGTTAAGCACATTATCTGAAAGGCCAGTGGCCCCCAATCTTTTGGGCACCAGGGACCAGGCACCAGGTTCCATGGAGAGCGGCTTTTCCGTGGACCAGAGGGGGCACAGTTTCGTGCGCTGCCTGTATCCTGCACGTGTGCAGATGGGGCTTTCTTGGTTTGCATATTCTCAATTGAATTATTGTACAACTACCACAAATAGCCAATTATGATCTATCTTCATGCAGAAAAACATGTCAGAATCAGCATGCATGGATGCAGAAGTGATCTGATGCATGGGGAATCTGCAGAGTTGCTTCATTAGGAACAAGGGATGGGGCTAGCTTGAATAGCCTTTGATTTCTGCAATGTATTATTTACTCATGCCAAGGATTCCGTTATAGAGAGCTTCTAGAACTCTAATGTCATTGGGGAAAGGAGGAATATAAGTAGGTAAAATTATCTTTTTATGTTAATTGGATGAGATATTTAACTTCAACTATTGTGTTGTCATAAAAAAAGAAAATGTGCAATCATTTCCCCAAAGGCGCGTTTTTAAGGAGGAAACTGGACTTGCTTGCTTTTTCTTTGGGGAAAAAAGTTATCTCCTGAAAAAAAAGTATCTTTGGGACAACCACGACCTGGATGACTGAGAATCTCTATAAGACTTTTATGCAAATCATGTGTTTCCCACACTCTGATGGTAAAAAAAACACTATGTTCTTTTAAACCTTTGAAAAATGCTTTAACATGCACCTTTATACATAAACTGTTAATAATAAATATCACTAAAAAAACAATATAACCATTAAATAGTGTTCTTACCTGACCTTTGGCCTGGGATATCCATGTTTGGAACAGCAAGTTTAGCCTTGTTTTATGATATTTCCTTGTGGTTTTCACAGCAATAAAAATATCTTTCAATTCCAATTTTTTCTTAGGAGAGATCTCAGCAGATTCTGTATATATCACATTGTGTGGCCTTTCATTTGTCTTTCCATTAGATTTCAGATGGAATTTACCTGTGTCTGTGACATAATGATTCCATTTTTCTAGTAGATTCTCTTTTGTTAAGGGCACTATATTGTCAATCCCAGCATCCAAAAGATTGGGGGAATTGAACTCCACCTGCTGAAGTCGGGTATCATTCTTGTTGAAAGTATTAAAAACAAGAGATGGATGTGGCCGAGGATAGATCTTAAATCTCCAGCTGGATTGAAATTTGGGAATCAGCAAAAGGAGAAGTGTGCAAGTGATAACTGAGAGCAGGAAGCATATCTTACTGAGCCTAATGCAAGAGAAGCTCATTCTTCAGCCCCTAAGGGCATTTGCCATCTTGTAAAACTGGGATATCACTTCCCAGTGATGATTAAGTCTTTGAAATGAAGCCCAATTGTGTAAAAATTCTTGAAGTTGTGGGACTTTTATAGCTACACAGTATCATCTTTGTGGCATTCAATCATTAGGGGTTGATTTCTTTGCATACCTGGGCCTGGATTTGTCATCCTAAAACACAGAATTTGTGACCTGTTATATGAGAGACAAAAAAGAAAAGAAACTTGAATGTTTTAAGTAACCATAAGAATCAAAGTGCCTTAAAATCATCAAGAAGATGGTTACTGTGGACTAACATGTGAATATATGAAACTGCTTTATACAGATTCATAATTGATCTCTCTATTCCAGTATTATTGTGACTAATAACAGTTCCCATATCTTTCCAATTATCTGCATTTGTTTTGGTTAGAACTTTAGTGAGGGATACTGTTGAAACTCCGCTATTACAAAAGAAAAACTGAACATTATGCAAAAAAAAAAACCAGTGCAGTTTAGAGCTTTAGGTGCATTATTAATGAAAATGACCTTAAATAACGTTTCGGAAACATGCTGAAAGAAAGGGAAATAAAATCGAAAAAGAATTCTTATGCTGTGAGTTTCTGTCACTTGTTCTATTGATTTAAGCCTACTTAAAAAGGGGTCTACAATACTTAATTATTGTATATAATCTATATATACAGTCTACAGTATATTTAGTAGAAACTCCCTTCCTGAAAATAAGGAGATAAACTTAATTGCATTTTTGGATGATGAGGCTTATTTTGGGGGAAATAAGTGAAACCAAATTAATAATTGAAGTTAGATGGTTTATTCAAGAGAAGAAAAAAGACTCACAGAAACTTTCTGTCTAGAAACATGCATTGTGAATGATATACTGTTAGATCACATACCATTAGTGGGTGTTGTTGAATTAAGCAATGGATAATATATTATCTCTTTTACCAACCTCTATTTTTTCTTCCTGATGCTCTCCCTTTTCTCTCTTATTGACATGTTTTCTCTTTTTCCCATCCAGCAGATTTCCAGAAAAACCAGTTCAACCTTGCATAACCCTCTGAATTAAGTGTTTGCAAACTGCTTTTGAAATAAGGCCAAAGAATACATGAAATTAAGGCAAGAACCACATTGGCCATCATCCCTGCTTTATATTATAGATGTTGTGAAATACATTGTAGAATTGCAGTTCATTCTGCCCAGAATCAGATGCATTAAATCAATTGTGCTTAGGAAACCTCAATAGGACAAACAAATGAAATTTTACAGATTTGTTCTTTAAGTGCACTGATGCCTTGGTAAATAAATCTTTGGAGCTCCCCACCAAATGTCAGTATGAGATCAATTAATATATCATTCCAGTAAACAAACAAAAAGTACAGCATATATTCCAAGCAATATTTGTACTTTTTTCAGAAACCAACAACTACTCCCCCCAAGAACTGCTTCTTGTTGACAAGAAGCAACAGATGGAAACTAACCAAGGAGAGAAGCAACCCAGAACTAAGAAGGAATTTCCTGACAGTTAGAACAATTACTCATTGGAACAACTTGCTTCCAGAAGTTATGAATGCTCCAACACAGAAAGTGTTTAAGAAGAAATTGGACAACTATTTGTGTGAAATGGTATAGGGTTTCCTGCCTCAGCAGGGGGTTGGACTAGAAGACCTCCAAGGTCCCTTCCACCTCTGTTATTCTATTCTAAAGGAGGAGGGTGACATTTTTACAGGTTGCTAGGCGCTGTAATCCTTGGATGATGATGATGATGATAAAATAAAAAGTCACTGAGTAAGAATTTATTCTTAAGTAAACTTAGAATTGCGGCCTCAAAATCATTTTAAGGTCAATTGTAATTTCAAGTAGAGACAATTTAAAGGCCACGTACTCAGAAAAAAGTCCTAGGGATCGTCCGGGCTTTTTCTGTGGGACAACCAGCTGTGCGGGGACCAGGCCTCCCAAAGCGGTTGCCTCGATTCCTCACCATGGCAACACACACACACACACACACACCCCTTGACTCCCCCTCCTCTCCCTCCCGCCCCGTGAGAACGCGACGGGAATTCCACCCCTCTCGCTCCCCGCCAGAGCGAAGATTTCACTTACCGGCAAGGGCCGGCTCCGCTCCCGCTGGCGGCGGAAGAAGCCGGGCCGGGCGCTTGGCTCTCGTCGCGCTCGCTGACCCAGGCTTCGAGCCCTCGCCGGGCCGAATCAAGCGGACACCGGTGGAGGGGTGGGGAAGAGGGCGGTCGGGGAGGAGAAGAGAACAGGGGTTACGGTCCCTTTAAGGGCTTTACCTGTCGCCGGCTTGACCCGGTTGCGTAAGTGATCCGGACGTGGAAGTGGGAGGGGAGGACGTGACCCGGAGGTGCATGGTGCGAGGGTCAATATGCCGCTACCCGTCCAAGTCTTCAATTTACAGGTATCGAGGAAGTTTCGAGGGGGTCGCTTGAGGGGCGGGGGGAGGTCTGGCCGCAGGGCGTGTCTTGCGGCGGCTCGAGGCGGAATTAAGGCGGTGGCGGGAAGGAGGCTGCATCGGCGGCGGCTGCCGAGCGGCTCCTCCGGTGGGATCAGCCCATGTGTTATTCTCGGAAGCCGCCCCCGGGCTGCCTCCAGGAGGAGGGGAGGCGGCGGAGGCAGGCGGGAGGCAGGGGCGGCCTCGAGCGAAGGCAGATGATCCGTTGCCCGGAGGGCGAGTGGTTGGCCAGGGCCGTGGCCGCCGGATGGAGAGGCCCCGCCGCCTGGTGCGCTTGGCTCTGCTGCGCCCCCCTCCCCCCCTCCTCTCCCCTCTCTTGCTGTCCATCTGGTTTCTGTGTAGACGCGGTAGAGGTGACCTTCTTGGGGGGCTGCCGGCCAGCCCGAGGATCGGTCTGCGGCTTCTCGCTCCACGTAACGGGCTGAGGACACTTAGTAGACATTTATAAAGATAAAGAGGAATAGGACAAGGAAACCATCCTGATGATGTTACCTAGTTTGATAACGAAACGCTCAGAAGCTAAATTGAAACAAGCTCGGAGAGCAAAACCACCGCCAAAAACACTTAAGATACGCCTGTAGGAATTCCCGAAACAGAGCAATTGGGCTTCGTTTGAATGCTTTTAAGAAGTCTTTGGTGGAGGCCTTTATTATTATTTCCCCCCCCCCACCAGTTGTGCCGTGATGGGGGAAGTAGATATAAATGATTTTTCAAGATCAGCTAAATACCACTGAAAGAGAATTAAACTCTCCCACCGTTTGCATAAGGAAGAGTTGTGTGATCTCCTGGTCATGAAATGCAATCCCCCAGCAAATGCTGCCACTCAAAAGTTGGAATAAACTGGCTCTTTTTGTTTTTTGGTGCTCTTGTAATTGTGCATTTGCTTCTGGAAATTAAAAAAAAATATCAATCACAATGATGTCTGAAATGTAATGAGAAACTGAAGTACCTGTTCAGACATTTGGACAATCCTATCTACTATGTCAGAAACTTCACAATTGTTGGTTTGTTAAGAATAGAATCGCAGGACAAAAGTAAGGATGGAGAAACTTTTGCATCTTTCTGTCTCCTTCCTGGTTTCTCAAAGGTGTTTTTTTTTAAAAAAACCTTTCTGTTGTTGATTTTAACTGATGACCAAAACCAACAACCTTGAAAGATTACAATAGAGGGAGGAATTTGATGTTGAATTTTCTCTCTGATCAGTGTCTCCTAAAACATTTTCCAAATGTCAGAGGCTTGCTGCGTTAAGAAAAACAATGTCTTAGAAATTGCAATTTTTGCTTGCCCCTCCCAAAATTGATTCCTCCTCTTTCTTAGAGATGCCATGTATTTTTCCAGCTCCTCTTAAGGGCATTATGGAAAGTTTTCTGCACCCAAGTTCATATTATCATGTCACAAATCACATGAAATGTATCTGTTCTAATTTTACTGTTTATAATACAATATTTAGGAAATTATGCATCTAAGCCAGTGGGTTTGACATTTGTTGCTTGTTTAATGTGGCACGTAAATGCTAATTCTTTATAACTTTAAGATGGATATAAATAAAGGCCTATAGTGAAAGAGAAAGAAAGCCAGTTCATATTATTCTAAGCCTACCATGAATTATAGCTGTTTATGACTGCAGGGGCATTAACTTCCTTTCTTTCCTTTAGCAGCTGGCGAGCTCTGTGTCAGGGCGAGGGGGTACAGAGAGTCAGGACAGGATGAGGGATAGTTCAGTTCCAAGCTCAGCTTCCTCGTCAGTGACAGATCTATACAACACTCCCCGCAGCAGTAGGTCAGACCTCTTCCTCCCAGGTACATCTGGAGACTTCAGCCTGAGTGCCTGCTTATCAGCCTGCACCCTACTTTATGAGGTATCTCAAAGGAGAAAGCACTCAAGGATGTCTGAGTGAGAATGACTTGAGTTTTATCAACATTAAGGCATATTCTTTTTTTTTAAAAAAAACATCCCTTCCTTTCTCTGAATTGGATGTATTTCAAAAAAACAAAGGAATTTGTTACATGCTGTTGAGCTGCTAGCAAAGATATTTGTCTCCCATTGTCTAAGAATAATTGAAAGCTTGCAGACTCGAAGCAATGGGCGACAGACTATAATTTTCCACAGCAGTTGTATGGCTTTACTTTGTTATGTATGTAATTTGTGTATTTTAAACATTTTTCTACTTTTAAGTAGGGATTTAAACACAATGTTGCATTATCTATTTTTTTCTTAACAAATGTCATTACTTAAAATCAAAGCAATGGACATTAACACAACAGCAGGATTATCTGACTATACTAAAAGCTGCAAGACTGGTTTGGGATCCATTGTTTGATGGTGGGTGGGAGGGAATGCATAGCTGAGGTACTGGCATGAAGAAGGCTGTCTCTTTGGAAATAGCCATCTTTTATTGGAACAGGGATAAGTGGTCCAGAGACCGCATATGGCTCCTGTATTGTTTTGGTTTGTTTTTAGTGGCCTCCAGAGATCACATAGTTGAAATTTGGCAGCAAATTGTATTCTAATCCCTAGAAATAAAAACAATGTGTGCAAAAAGTATAGTCTAGCATGAACTCTTTCTGCAATTCTCAGAGACTCCATAGAACGGGTGAAGCCAAAAGCTAGGCCTTTTAGATATGTTTTGAAGAAGCTGAATGGCTTTAAGGACTGAAATGATTGCCTTACAATATTTCATCTCTTAAAACCTCCAATTATTCTTTCCAAAATTGTGCTTTTTATTCTTCTTCTAGGTTTTGAAGTACTCTATTGATATAGTTTAGTACTGTACAGTCATGAAGCTGACAAAAGGAGGTCTCCTTGTAGTGGCCATTAGATGAGCGCTCTGTTGCATGGTATCATCCTGATATTGCCCTGTCCAACATGACATTTAGACATACCCAAATTAAAACAAAGTAGTACTTTGCCATAAAAAGCTTGTTCTCAAAAGACAGGGCACTCAAAAAATAAGGTCTAAACAGTCAAGACAACTCATAAGTAAACAATCTGCCCTTTGTATATGTTCAGATACCCCACCTTTAATCATAAAGAATTCAAATTATGCTTTCTTCTAAAAAGACTATCCTGTGAAAAAAGCACATTTTTCTTGAAATGTCTTGTTTGTATAGTGGAGTGCATTGCAGATTCTCAATTGGAAAAGCCTTGGTCAATACAAATGGCTTTGAGTCAGGCTTTGGAGAGTTTCTCCTAACCAGACAGGACTAGAGTTATGAAACCTGTGGCCCTTCATACGTTGCTAGGATAGCTATTTCAGTCCCAACCTTCCTAACTAGTAGATATTTCTAATGGCAAGTATAGTCAAATGGCATTTGCAGAACTTCAGGCAGCCAATCTGCATTCTATTAAGATGACCAGTGATCTGACCCTGATACTTTATCTTCAAATGATCATATAAATTTAGTAGCTGAAATGTCTGCAAATGAGGTAAATTGATAAAGCCTAGGTTTATCACTGCTTCATTATCCAGACCATTTGGGGCATAGGTTAATTGGAAAAAATCATGAGGATCTCAACTTAGATGAATGCCATAAACCTTGGATGGGTTCAGGTAGCTATTGTCCAGCCTTTTAATGTATCCTTTGAAATAATAGAGTTTAGGTGAAAAATCACAATAGCAATATTTATTTCTTCAAGTTATATAGCCACTCATCTCACCCACATGACTCTGGAAAGATCACAACATTATCTCTTCACATAAGAATATGATTAGGATCTCATGGCAAATTTTCTTGGGATCAAAGATTTTCAATCTTTCTTCATGATGCTTGTGTCTCAGCAAAATAATTTTCTAATTAAAGGAGATAAAATATCCTTCATATTCTGTTAAAATGACAAGCTCTTAAACCCCTTTTTGTTGATTACAATTAAAAATGGATTTAGAAATAGAGGAACCTTGTTAGGCCTGCATTGCATATATTTTGTACAATGTATGTAGCATTTGCCTCTTGATTCACCACAGTCTTTGGGTTGGGGTATGGGGTCGCTCTGTACTGTTATAAATCAAGAGTGCAACCTATGACATCATATTCAATCTCTGCTTTCACACCACAGTGAAAGATTGGTAATAGATAGGTTGTCATGCTATAAAACTAATTTTCTTTCATTTCTCATTGGTAAACGTCTAATAAATTTCCAAGAAGCCTAGATTCTCCTCAATCTTTTGCCTTCATGTCCTTATGGGCTTTCTAAAGGAACTCAGTTGGACAGAATATAGACTAAAAATAGATCTTTGGTATGATCTAGTGAGATTCCTGATACTGATGTCCTTTAGAGCAAGATTACATCAAATAAGTGTGAAAGATGACACCTGTGGAGGATCAGACATGGCTTTAGACCTAATTGTGTTTTTCTCCTAATTGTGTTATAAATGGTTTTACTTTTCTTTGCATTTTTAGCCATGTTGTTGAAATGTGCATGCTTGCTTGATTTATCCATAGTGTATTATTTTGTACGTTTTCATGTGCGGAATTGTAACTCTGCATTTGTTCATGCCATGTAAAGTTACTTCTCTGTGTTTCAGTTCCTGGAAAAAATTCATGATGAGGACAGTCTTCCTTCCCCTCTCCCAAAAGTTTTAAAGCCCAGAAATCTCCCTGAATTGCCCCCTTATAAATCCAGCCCTGATCTTGGATAATGAACTATTGCAGAATAACAACAACAACAATAATAATTTCAGACTATTATTTCATGTTTCAGCCTTGGCAGTATTGTGGAGATACAGTATACTCAGTACTGTACATAGTATACCGTATATGTGCTCTTGGGTTTGACTGAAAAAAATTCATAAAGATTCAGTGGATTTCCTTGTTAACAATTATTTCCACTCATTATGAATGAAAATTAAAAATATGCCCAGAATTTCCTATGACTTATATGAAACAATATAAACTTTAGATTATAAGATGACAAGTAAGAAAAATATCCCAATTTAATTATGCTAAATTCTGTTAATTTTTTTCTCAATATAACATTGTTCCATTTGCTTACTATAAGAACAAACTTTGATACATATACATGGTTCAAACTGAGGGGATTAAACTGCCGTTTTTGGTTCAGAAAATGGTTAATCATCTCTGTTTTATTACTGAGAGCAAGGAAATCTATTGAGTGAATTAGTGGCACAAAGTGAGGGTAGTATTTCTGGGAGGCCTGGAAAACAACTTCGTGGAGTGAAAATCCTAAGCTGTAGATGCATTGCTTAAATGTCAAGTTCAGTTATATTTGCTGATGCATGGGAATCTTTCCCTTGGGGCTGGGAGGGAGAGACTCTTCATTTCTGTTTCACTCACATGCTCTGCTGTTACAGGGTGCGGTAGAGCCCATGCAGATTGATGTAGATCCCCAAGAAGATCAGCAAAATGCACCTGATATCAACTACGTGGTGGAGAACCCAACTCTGGTATGTGCTTGAAGGCAAAAAGGACAGAACGGGCTTCTTAGAATTGTCTTCCAAAACCTAGGTTCTCTATCAGTCCTTACTTTAAGCAAAAACTACCTGCTTATTGTTTTACTTGTAACCTTTGCTTACATGTTGAAGAAAAATGATTTATATTGTTGGTTAAAATGGCAGGCGAGAGGGAGCTGAATAACAACTCTTTCACATTGTGTAACAAAAACAGTCCACAGTTTTCTTCATCTTCTATTGATAAAGTGTCTTTTGAATGAAGCTTAACTATTGAAGAACTTATGAAAATACCTGTGTTGCTTTAGTGGCTCCAGTAGGGAAATAGGTTGCCATTGTCTTCTCCCAAGATGCTTTTTCAGCTTCCAGTCTTATAAGTATCAGCCAGCTTAGCTTTTTGAGACTGGATGGCGCTATCCGCTTGTCATATTTCATATAACTATAAGTCCTTGAGTTGTCAGTTTAAAACCAATTCTTATATTTAGGGAGTGCTTTTGATTATAAACTTTACAATAGCCCTATAAAATAGCTCAGGATTAACTCTATATTGGGAACAAAATTACCAGTGTCTAGATGAACTTCATATCTATTGCCTCAAGGGAGCAAAATCATTACTGTGATAACCGTACCTCCTAGTTCTTCCTTCTCTGCTCTGCAGTCTTGGAGAGTGTCATCATCATATGAGCTTTTAGAGCATAGAGCTTAAGAACGTGGCTAAGAGTAGAAAAACTTTAGCTCAAGTCTAGTCATCCTTAGCCACAAATGCTGACTGACTTTAAGTCAGTCTTTCTATCTCAGTCCACTATAGCTCACAAAGTTATTGTGGGAATAAAACAGGTATTGTACCGTTTTACTAATTTCCTCAATGAGCCCAGTTATTATTATTTTTTTGGAGATAAAAAAATGATATAGTGCGATATCATCCAATGCATTAATTCTATAGAAAATGTTGATGCATAGATACCTGTTTCACAGATTACAGAATATAATAAAAATGAAACAAATGTACAATTTGTCATTAAGAAGCAAAAATATGCAGGAATAATTCCTGTATGCTTTAGGATCTAGAGCTAGCAATCATCTGGGAACTCTATGGTTTCTCTATAGTTCTTGAACTAAAAATACCAGGGGCCTAATAGTTGGGCTAATACACACTACCGTCTATGATCTCTTCATTCCGGTTGGAGCAGGATCTGGAGCAGTATGCAGCAAGTTACAGCGGCCTGATGAGGATTGAAAGATTGCAGTTCATTGCTGACCACTGCCCACAGCTGCGAGTAGAAGCCCTGAAAATGGCGCTCTCATTTGTCCAAAGAACATTCAATGTGGATGTTTATGAGGAGATTCACCGGAAGTTGACTGAAGCTACCAGGTACTAAGATGAAGAAGGGTCTTGAAAGGCTTATTGGGGATGCATAGTGCTAAACAAACAAACAAACACACACACACACACACACCTTTAGTTGATTGACTGCATCTATAGCTATATATGTGTGTGTGTGTGTGTGTGTGTGTGTTTCATACACACACATAGAGAGAGAGAGAGAGAGAGAACGTTAATGACCAACATACAACATAAATATAATAAAGTTAAATATAATAAAGCATTCATACAAATATGAATGACATGAATTAAATATTGCATGACATTATGAATATTATATATAAAATCTATAAAAGTAAGCCTATAAACTTATCAAAGTTTTTAAAAGAGTCTGGTGTTTTAAAACTAACATTCATACAAATGTGCAACAAAATATAGGATGTAAATTGTCATTTCTAACACAAAATCTAATAGATATCAGATATTATGGCACAAATTTCATACAGTACTCCCTGAAAGCACTTATCCCTTTTTGATGTCTGTAGGTAATATAGTAAAATTTAAAAGCATTCAGGGAGACTATATTGTGCCTTTTAAACAATGGAAACTAAAGATAAAATAAGCGGATGCTCTGGAGAATTTTCTAATAGCATGCATAAATATCCTTATAAAAGGGACAGTTCAAAAGAAAATGATCAGCCTTCCCACCATTACCCATTCTGCGTAGGCAAAGCTGTTCATTGTAAGATATTCTCTCATACTTCCAAGTCAATAGCTGGTAAAACATTTAAGTTGTGCTAACATCCTACCTTATCTATATTTAGATACTGCAGTCTGTCTAAGGTATTTATCGACTGTACTGAAATTGAAGGTAGAGCACTTAAAGTTTTCTGTTATGACTATTATTGCCAAATTCCATTCCCATGGACATTTTGCACTACCATGTATACATATAAAAAGTAGAAAGCCCTGGGGGAAGGCCCCTTTCAGCCAGATGACTGTTTCCAGAAGGTTATCTTTTTTTACTCAGCTCTTGCATATGGTTTCAATTTGAAATTCTTCTTTATATCTTAGGAGCCATTCGTGCACCCAGTAGAAAGGGAGCCCTTTCATTTGTTTTCTGGTATTTTGATGAACTGAACTAAGCATTAGAATCAAATATAGCTGAAAATGTTTGCTGCTTAAATAAAAGCTTACCTAGCAGAGAGATAGAGCGTAGTTAGGCTACTAAAGTCAGCTTTTGATTGTCTTGGCTCTTTATTTACCTTCTTTGATTAAATCACAGATATGTTGCTATTCCTCACTCAAACTGTGAAACAAAGGGATCTGTAGTAGTTTTCCTATATAGGTCATCAGTTTTAGTTCCCAACAATCCATTCAGCACATATACAGGAGTTCTATATATGAGTGGAACTTTTCTGAATTTAGAGTTTCACTCATCAAATATCAATAGTGTCTAGAGCAGGGGTGTCCAACCGTGGCAACTTTAAGACTTGTGGACTTCAACTCCCAGAATTCCTCAGCCAGCAAAGCTGGCTGAAGAATTCTGGGAGTTGAAGTCCACAAAAAGTTGCCAAAGTTGGACACCCCTGGTCTAGAGCCAATTAATTGTACTCCTAATTATTGCTATGATCCTTCTCAATCCTTGTAGATTGTGGCAGTAGATAGATTGTTATTATCTGTAGGTAACAGATTATTCTGCGTCCCTATACACTTTGTGTATCTACTGTTTCCTTTTCAGAGAGCTGCAGAACACACCTGATGCTGTCCCAGATGGTGGGATAGATCCTCCTCCTCTAGACACAGCATGGGTTGAGGCTACACGCAAAAAAGCTCTCCTCAAACTGGAAAAGCTAGACACAGATCTTAAGAATTATAAAGGAAATTCAATCAAGGAGAGCATCAGGTAACACAAGGGAAATTAACAAATGAAAACAAAAGAAATTGGAGTTGGTAGTTAGTTACGAATTGGTAAAACTAATCTCAGAATAACTTTTTAAAATGTTATCTGGAATCATTTAATGGGTTGTGTATACTTCAAATGACATTTTCTTGAATTTATTATTTACAGTTTTCTGATACATGTTGCCATGAAATAAAACCATGAAGGAATCTTTGTGCAGAAAATGCTACACATTTCCTTTTCACATGAAAGGGGTTTTCCATAATCTGTAGTCACAGATCATTTTTCAAATGTGTCTTGAGAAAGAAAATTGAATGATTGAACTGTTTTTCACTCGTTCCCAAGAATTAAATAGTTTGCTCTCTTCTCTTGTGAACCTTCAGAAAGTAGTGTGAAATATACTATATTTGTTCTGAACATGTAATGTGTGAGACACATCTTACCCCCCAATATAATTTTTCCCTTCTGTGACCCACATTTTTCCTAATGCTGCTACTGCTTATTCCCACTCTCAGATTTTGCAGTGCATGTATCTTGCACTCTTCTCAATGTAGTATACATTTGTTAACTTTGATAATGTGTGTAACAGTTGTATTCCTCAGCACTGGTGGACATTATTCATGGTAGCTTATGAATAGTTTTTCAATGAAATAAATGTTCAGAAGAGGCAGTGGATCTGTTTAGCAATGAAGCACAGTGGACTTTGTAGTAGTATACTAAAAAGCATAATAAAGAAGTCTATTTGATCCTCATTTTTAGGTTTCTGTGGAAGTGTTGATGCTAAGTATCTGCCAGAAATATCTTTACCATGTGTTAACCAGTAGTTAGACTTTTTGGACAAGGGCAAACAATGTTTAGGGTTATGTGTTTCTGATACTTATTTGTTTATAACTGACACCTGCCTGCTTTTTAGGAGAGGCCATGATGACTTGGGAGATCACTACCTTGACTGTGGAGACCTCAGCAATGCCCTTAAATGTTATTCACGAGCTCGTGATTACTGCACCAGTGCAAAACATGTTATTAACATGTGCCTCAATGTTATCAAGGTAAACAGCAGTTTATCTCAGCAGTCCTTTATTTGGAAAAGGGAGAGTAGTAAAATTTAATCACTGTTCAAAATAGACTCCCCCCCACAACTCATAATTAACATATAAACCTTCCTTCCTTTTCTATCTTTGCATTTCAAATTTCCAGTTTTCCCATCAGTACTTTTCACGAGGACTCAGTCAGTAATAATAGGCTACTGCAACTCCTTAAGATCTCTTTTCACAATTACCTCTTTTATAGAGGTACATAATTGAATGTGTCAGGTAATGGGTTACTCAACTACATCTGGACTTGATTCTTTGCAGGTCAGTGTTTATCTTCAAAACTGGTCCCATGTCCTGAGCTACGTGAGCAAAGCAGAATCCACGCCAGAGATTGCAGAGGTACTAAGCTTTTCTCCATCTTGTCTGTGACAAGACATTCCCATGATAGATTCAAGATCGTCTACTGACTTTCCCAAGCGAATGGGAATTTGGAACTAGTCATATGCTAGATCCTGCTAATTCCTTGTTTGCCTTTAATTACCCTGTTTTGATCTCCTGATAAAATACAGTCCTTTGTGGTGCTGTGTACTGTTTTAACTTGTAGAAAGATTGTTAAAGAGCTATTTAATTAATAATGAACTTGGAAGTAGACATGAGGTTCAGATTCCTCTCTGAAAAGAAGCAGAGATTCAATTTCATCATTGGCTTACATGATAATATATTGTGTACACGATCCCTGTTTAGAGCTTTGAGTGACTCCATCTGCATTTCAGATGGGTTCTTGATCCCTGCCAAGGGAAAAGAAATAAGAGAAAAGAACTGCTTCCTCAGGCAACCTGAATGGAATGAATTAGCTGAAATATTGTCCATTGACTGATTTTTCTCCCTCCTCCCTGTCTAGCAAAGAGGAGAACGAGACAGCCAGACACAGGCCATCCTTACCAAATTGAAATGTGCCGCAGGTGAGAAAATGGTTTGCTTACTTAACTGATACCATCCTCAGTGTTTGTGGGAATGGTTGTATCCAAGCGGTGCGATAGACTAGCAAAATCTTCCAATTTGCTTTTCCAATATTATATTGTAACTGCACAAAGCCCCCCCCCCCCCCCCCCCCGAGTCAGTCTCTTCCTAGGAACTATTATTAATTTAAGAGGCTGATGCTTAGGTTTCTCTGTGACCCCTGGCCTTCTCTCTCTTCTGATTCCCCTGCACAAAAAGTAACTTTGTTCTCATTCTTAGGCTTGGCTGAACTAGCTGCCCGGAAGTACAAGCAGGCAGCAAAGTGCTTCTTGTTGGCCTCATTTGATCACTGTGACTTCCCTGAGGTGAGGATGTGGAAGTGATGGGAGCTGGCAAAACAGTGGGGTTTAGTGTGAAGGAAATGGCACTACGAGACCATATGTGACCTTTTCCAAGCTAAATCTGGAGAGATCAGCTATTTTTCCCCCTTGTGTTTTTTTTTTTTCCTGGGAAACCTGGGGAAAGGATTCAGGCAATCTTGGGCTCTTTATCTCTATTCTTTAGAGGCTGTCCTTTCTCTCTTTTTTCCTAGCTGCTCTCTCCTAGCAATGTAGCTGTATATGGTGGACTGTGTGCACTAGCAACTTTTGACCGACAAGAATTGCAACGTAATGTCATCGCCAGCAGGTAAACGATTTGCGGAACTTTGATGATGAAATAAACTAAATTATAAGGGACATGTTAGTGGATTTATTAATGGGAGCAGACAAATGGCAGGACTGAAAGAGATTAAGTACTCTTCCTCATCTTGTATCCAGCATGTTCCATTTTAAGTTCCTCTGATTACTTTTCCTTCATACCGATAGTGCTCAACTTATGACTGGTCAATTATGGTCGTATGTCAAGGACTACCTGTAATTTTAAGAAAGGCAGGATGAAGAATTACAGACTTACTCCCATCTGGGTCCAGATTTTAGACAGTCACACCTTTCCACTGCCATGCCCTCTGGCTCTTGAGACAGTGGTCACTCACAATCTTGTAGAAATGATCACACAATCAAAATCATTGAATAGAGTAGCCCTCTTTGAAAGAGACATAAAAGATGACTTGACTTCAGGTTGTGTGACTCCCTTTGTATCTACAGCTCCTTCAAACTGTTCTTAGAGCTAGAACCACAGGTGCGTGACATCATTTTCAAGTTCTATGAATCCAAATATGCTTCATGTCTCAAGATGCTGGATGAGATGAAGGTATGTCCTAGAGTTTTAGTGTTCCTCAATATGTTTTGCAAAACAGTTGCAACAGCATTTGAACTGCGAGAACCCTTTGGGCAAAACTACTCAAGTATAAGAAAGCCTGGCTTAGGAAGGGGTAAGCGACAGACTTCAGAGATAATACCATGTCATAGTTGGAATGAGGGGTGGGGGGCAAGAATTTCTGCCCTTCTTGCACGTTAACCTTAATCAATTACACTCTGTTTCATTGTGTTCAGGTAAAATGTTCGGGCTACTAGGTATTAAGCTCAATCTGAAAAATAGAAAAATACGTTATAGCTATGTACTGTTATAAGTACACAGATTCCTGTTAAATATCTTTTTTAAAAAAAATCAGGAATGAAAGCAAATAAATGTTGCTAGAGGAAAAGAGTGTCCATGTAAAGCTGTTAGGCTGAAATTGTACTATCTTGAGAGTTAGTCCAGATACATGCCTAAGATTTGTCTTTTGTCTTCTCACTGTCTCTTTCAAAAAATTATCTTGGCATGCTTTGGATGTTGTTATGGGGGTGGGGGTTGAGACTGGCTTGTTCGGGGGGTGGGGGGAGGAAATGGAAACAGTTAATAGTTTTGGATATTCTTTTCCTCTGTGGCTATTACAGTTACTTCCATTCTCCCAGATTAATGGCACATTAGTAGAAAGAGATTAATGGATGTTATGGTAACTCCAAAGGAAATGTGGCAGTGCCTTGGTAAATCTTATTAGGTAGATTCAGTGTTTCTTTTCCATTTACTATTAACATTTTGCAAACTTTAGAAATGATTGTTTTATAGAGCAAAGCTTTGGAAAGCTTTATGTCCATTCTTCTTGCTGTTCTGGACAGGATAACCTACTATTGGATATGTACCTGGCACCTCATGTGAGAACACTTTACACCCAGATACGAAATCGGGCCCTTATCCAGGTATCTGTCTTTACCTGTGGCTGCAGTTGTGACTTTCCTTTGTTCCTCTCTTCACTGAATGCAGTGCAGAGTCACTCTTAGAATATTTCTCTGTCTTTTTTTCTCGCTTGACTTTTCCCTTTATTCCCAGTATTTCAGCCCCTATGTGTCAGCAGACATGCGCAAGATGGCCACTGCTTTCAACACTACTGTGGCAGCTCTGGAGGATGAACTCACTCAGCTGATCCTAGAGGGGCTAATAAATGCCAGAATAGACTCCCATAGCAAGGTGAGTCCCAGTCGCATAAATACTCCTCGGTCTCTCTGGCCACTTCTGAAAGCCAGTGGCTAGTTAGACAGAATGAATTTAATTGTTTGCACATAGTAATTATGACATGTGGGTAATCCACAACTTTATTGGGCCCCACAATTGAGCCCAAAATTTTTGTTGTAAGGAAGACAACTGTTAAATGAGTTTTACCCTCTCCTTGCTTGGCACAGTTGTTAAGTGACTCACTGTAGTCGTTAGGAACACAGTCGTTAAGTGAATTTGGCTTCCCCATTGACTTTGCTTGTCAGAAGATCATAGAAGCTGATCAAGGACATTGCGACCATCATAAATACCTGCCATTTGCCAAGCATCCAAAATTTGATCATGTGACTATAGGGATGCTGCAGTGATTGTAAGTAAAAAAGGTCATAAGTCAGTTTTTTCAATGCCGTGGTAACTTTGAACGGTCACTAAATGAATGGGTGTAAATCAACAATACCTGTAGTCTAGATTACCTGTAGTCTATAATATTTTAGCCAATATAAAAATCTATATATTGTAGACAAGGTATAACTCCTGGTTATCCAGAAACCCTGCTTCAATTTTAAGTTCTTTTTTAAAAATCCTTTTATTTCTATGCAAAAAGAATTCAGTTCTTTTGGCTTTTGAATTTTCAGAAGATGCTTTTTGCTGTTTCATTTCCCCTCAACGAATACTAGAGAGGCTTTTGCATTTTGCTTCTCAGACATCATTTACTGCTCCTCTTCACCTCTAATAGTCTCTGTATCTCCCCCGCTACTTAATCTTATTCTGTAGATTTTGTATGCCAGAGATGTTGACCAACGCAGTACTACCTTTGAAAAGTCCCTGCTCATGGGGAAGGAGTTTCAGCGTCGCGCCAAAGCTATGATCCTACGAGCTGCTGTCCTGCGTAATCAGATCCATGTGAAGGTGAGCAAAAATGCCCTGCATTCTCCAGGGGTTTGCATCTTTGTGAATCAGCATCAATCAGAAGTTGGTGTAAATGTAAATGAGGGTATTTGGACTGAGCTGATCAGCAGAACCAGGGCAAGTAGTTCCTACGCATCTCCTGAATGACTTCAGCTGATGCTTAAATATTTGAAGGCCACAAGCAGGTTAGATAAGACACTTTCTTAGAAACATCTTATTAGTTCAGTACAGATTTTGCCGTTGACCTAAGAAGAGCCTTGCTGCATTAAGCCTAAGGCCTTTCTAGTCAAATGTTCTGTTCTGTAATAACCAAACACACCTATCCACTTGGGGACCTGACAGCAATAGCCCTTTTTCAATGTGGCTCCCCATGAATTGGGATGTAAGAATCTTTGTTTATGACTGTAGCACTGGTATGTAGCCCTCAAGATGAACAGTGGTTGTCACTCCAGTTTGAGTCCATTGTACATGTGGTAGCAATGAATGTCATTGTTTTATTAAGTATTATGCACAGAGCTTTCTGCAGCAGGAAGTGACAAAATGAACATAATCCAAAGGTGGATTTTTCTTGGCAGATCTACAGGGAAGATGCAGGAAGAGGGCTATGCGAGGCATTTGAAAGAAGCAGCTGGGAACGGCTTTTGAAGTAGTTGTGTGATCCTAGCAATAGACATAACTGCTTGAACTATTCAGAGGAAGAGGGCTTTGCTTGCACACATTACAAAACCCTTATTTCAAAAAGTTTTGCCCAGCCTTAGAGGAGACCTTCATCCTTGGGGTCTTAAGTCCTCAGTTTCCCTTAACTGTGTTATACTTTGTGAGACAACCTAAAAGATGGTGCTCTTCTACCACTGGCCCTTTTTTTTTCTGAAGGAGTAAAACTATGTCTCTCAATGCTGTCTAAACTTTTAGTCCCTAATTCTTTTCCATTCGTCTGGTTTTGGCTCCCTGGGGGTGTCCTTCACTTGCCTGCTGGTGTGACAACTTGTGGGGAATGGGAGATGAGCTCTTTCTCTATCTGATTGCTTACTGGTTCTTGGGTCTCTCTCTTGCCTTGTTACAGTCTCCTCCACGAGAAGGAAGCCAAGGTGAACTCACTCCAGCAAACAGCCAGTCCCGGATGAGCACCAACATGTGAAGCTCTCTGAGCCAACAAAAGACTGTCCCTTCCCTCCCTGCCCCACATACCCAGGGCCATGCGTATCCAGTACCCACAACATCAACTGTCCCTTGGTGCCTTTTCAGACTCTCTGGCTGGGGGGGGGGGGGAGGAGGGGGCCAGGCTGTTGAAGGCAAGCTTTGAGAGTCTGAGAACTCCTTTTAGAACAGACAATGTTCGTCAGATGCAGCCCTTTGAGAATATGCAAGCCTGCGAGCTGGCTTCATCCTATCCTTCCCGGGGTTTCTCACAAACAGAAGCTGATCTTGGTTTCATTCAGCTGCCAAAAAGAGCTTTGTTGTTTTTGTTCAGTAAAAGATAAATAGCATGAATCTGGAGGACATGTGTGTTCGTGCAGAACTTTTCATTTGTGCGAATGCATCGTCTCAGGCCCTGAGAGTCTCTCTTGGACAGCATCACAGGAAAACAGGCATCCTTTCCATTTATTCACTTCTGGGCTGTGTTTTCATTCACCTGGAATCAGCTCCATTTTAATCTGTTCTTCCTGTGTTTTTTTAGTGTGTGTGCTCTGTCTTGTTTTCACATCCCCAGACCTCAGATGAATAGTTGGTTCCTTTGATAATTCCTGCTCCAAATGGGATGGGGTGGGGGAACATATATGGAATTATCTCCCCCTGCACTTGGGCAGGACCTGCCTGGGTGCCTGCACTACTACTTTTTAATTTACTTCATAACAAAAGGGGTATGTGGTTACAGGCCTGACAGATTGTGTTGCGTTAAGAAGCGTAGGTTGGGTGTTTGAGTGTTCCAGTTACTTATATTTGGGGAGGTTCATTGGGGTTCATCCCAAGGAAGCAGTTACAAATTTGGATTTAACTCTTGGCCAATTTATCTACAATTTATCCCAGACACTGTTAATGTTGTTTAGTTTAAAGCCACATTCTCTCCTATGCATTAAAAACATAATTGCAATGATAACGGCAGATCTGAACATTAATTCTTGCTCTCCTCCACAAACTTCTCAACTCAATTATACTCTAGTACAGATAACCGAAGGATGCAGTTTTGAAATTAAGGATTGCTTGAATTACAATCGTAGATGATATTGAACAAGTCTTTCTGTGGACCCTTTAATCCTAGTGTATCATACCATGCCATTTTTATAAAAGTACGGAAAGAAATTGGTGAGACGGATGATCCATATGTAATCTACGTAATTTAATGGGAGCTTTTAATGGGAGCTTTTAAAAGTAGTACTACATGATATTTAACATATTTCAAAGCAAAATAAGGATTCCTTATCTTTCTTAAAAGAATCCATGTACATTTAGTCCTGAAATATTTTGAATTTTCCTCATAGACATCAAGGTAATGTATTGTAATGTATCAAGGTAATATATTGTGACTTAAAGGCCACTTGAAAAAAATAGTAGGCAAAACTAATGATGAAGATAGCATAATGTAATAAATAAAGCACACCATTACAGTAAGCAAGCTTAAAATAAACTGCCTAAGCCAAATAAACAATTTTAACCCAGTATTGAAAAAATTATGACTAGGCAGTATATTTAAACCTTGACTTTTCTTAATCTGCGAAGTCATATTACATTATGTGTCAGGTTAGGGTTTCTTAAATGTTGAGATTTTCAGAATCCAATTTGAAAGGAGGTTTCTTATTTTCCGTTGCTCACAAACACGGTAAAAAATGAAATTGCAATCCTTTCCCGTTACTGTTCCATATGGGTTGGTCTTCCTCAGTACTTGCAAAGCAATTTTTTAAGTACCTAGTTATATGGCTAATTATTGGTAAATTTAGCTGCTTGCTGTTAATTTTGCTACTTTTGTACTTTTTGTTAGAAGATATTTCACTTTTCTGAGTTTTTTCCCCCCTTCATTTTATAGTTCTCTATATTCTACATTTCTTTGGTCTCTAATAAATAGCACTTCCTAACAAAAATCCAGGTAGTTCTCAACTTACAACAGTTTGCTTAATGACCATTCAAAGTTACAACGGCACTGAAACAAGTGACTTATCACCCCTTTTCACACTTATGACCATTGCAGCATCCCCATGGTCACATGATTTACATTTGAATTCTTGACAACTGACATTTATGACCCGGGGTTATGTGGTCCCCTTTTGAGACCTGACAAAGCAAGTCAATGTGAAAGCCAGATTCACTTAACAGCCGTGTTAATTTAACAATTGCAGCGATTCACTTAACAAATGTGGCAAGGAAAGTGGGGCAAAACTCACTTAACAAATGTCTTACTTAGCAACATACATTTTGGTCTCAGTTGTTGTAAGTTGAAGACTACCTGTAGTTTTTTGAGGCAATGGGTAAGATACTGTCTGTATGAACAAGAAATCTAGTCTGAAGGTACTTAACCACAGGGCTTGATGGGAAACTGTATAAGAATCTGATGTGTAATATACACAGTACAATGGGTATCACTCACAGCCTGTGGATACAGCCCGCAGATGCTTCGCTGGCCACTCCCACCCCCGTTTTAGCAAAGGGGGGAAAAGTCACGATACGTCATGTGTGTTTGACACCCTTGCAGTACAATAAGGAGAGATACATACTGTTTTCGAGTCTGTATGGCATGCCAAACTTATTTATACTGAGCAAACCTATCTATTGTTCTAGTAAGTTTTCAGCATCTTATGTCACTGGTAAAAAGAGGGAATTCTATGTCCTTTCAGAGGCATGGGAGTGTTTTTTTTAGTGCAGCCCCACCTCTGGATACTCCCCCGAAGGAAAAGGGTCAAGAGAAACTATAGTACTGAGAATATTACAGGTAGTTCTCAACTTATTACTACAACTGCGCCCAAAATTTCCATTGCTAAGCAAAGCAAAGTGAATTGCACCTCATTTTATGACTTTTTTTTGCCACAGTTGTTAAATGAATTGCTGAATTGTTAAGTGAATCAAACCACTGTTGAGCGAATCTGGTTTCCTCCATTACTTTGTTTGTCAGAAACTGACTGGGAAGGTTATAAATGGTGATCACATGACTTGGGGACAGTGTAACTGTTATAAAATATGTCACTTTGATCGTGTGCCCCATGGGGATGCTGCAATGGTCATAAGTGTGAAAACTGGCAATAAGTCACTTTTTTCAATACTGCTTTAACTTCAGTCACTAAATCAATGGTTGTAAGTTGACAACTTGTACTCAGTCTTGTTATGTGGTCCCATTTTATAGATTTCCTGGCTTATGGGAAGGTAGGAAATGACATCCCTAAGGATCTCATGTCCCATAAGAAAATAATAACTTTTTTAAGTGTCTCCAAACTCATACCCATTCTGTTGGTAGTCATAACTTTCTGACTTATCAGGACTTTTTCTCCCTTTGCTAAACCAGGTGTGGGTGTGGCCAGCGCGTGACACATCCAGACTGTGAGCCGGGAGTTTGATAGCCCTGTACTAACTGATTTTTCTGACGTTTAATTTCATCAAACTATAGAGTTTTAGAAAAATTGGAAGGTATATTGTGCCCATGGTGTGTGAATCAATAAATCTTCAACACTTAACAGTGCTTGAGGGCAGTCTTTGGGTTTAATTCACTTAAAGCCTTCAAGTTATTAATAAAAAGATGCTTTTATTATAAGATGTTTTGAGCTCTGTAAGAAGGCAAGTAAGATGAAACTTTAAAAATCAAATATATAGGACACAATTGGACAAAAATATGCAGAACAAAATGTAATTCAGATAGGCTCCCAGTTATAATTTCAATTTATAAGGCTGCTCCAATTCAAAGCTGATTCTAGCAGCATACAATTACAACCTAAGAAGAAACAAAAGGAATATTACAGAACAAGGAAATGGATATCACAACCAAAGCAAACTACAAATCAAATGGGCCCCCACCCAATCTATCCTTGGAGTAAAAATCAAGTTTTTATAGAGTGTTTAAAAGCTTGTAGGGGCAGGGTGGATCCAAATCTTTCTAATTTTGACCTCTGCCTATTAGTGTCTGTAAACACATTTGTGATTTATTGTTATCAGCTCCAGTGACTACTCCTCTTAGGCAGACTTAATGCATGGAGGGATAGAGGAACTACTGGTACATATTTTGTCCCTAACTTCTATCTAAACTTCAGTACTGCTGATAGTTTTAGCTCAGGGTATCTTTATCTAAACTTGTAGTTATGCCATATTGGGGCACTCACATGTCACAGGAGCCATTTTGGTTTAATGGTTAAGGCACCAGGCTAGAAACAGGAAATCATGAGTTCGTGTCCTGCCTTAGCCATGAAAGCAAGCTGGGTGCCTTTGGGTCAATCACTCTCAGCAAAATCAACCCACCTCAGGGTGGTGCTTGTGTGGGAAAATAGGAGGAGGAAGATTTGGCATCTTGAATTATTTGTAAAAATAACAAAGGAGAGATACAAATTAAATAATTTAGGCACTAGATTATAGAACAGCTGTAGTTGCTGGAAACCAGCATAAATCTCAGGCTTACCACAGTGATGTCCAACTGGAGAGTCTTTCATCAATGTATTTTCTCTTTCCTTAGCTGCCTTGGCCGATTCAGTGCAGTGTTTCTCAACCTTGGCTGCTTGAAGATGGGTCGACTTCAGCTCCCAGAATTCCCCGGCCAGGCTGTGGCCTACTCCCAGTTCTGCCGCTGTGAGCAGTGTAACAATCAATGCAATGTAGAAGTGATGCTGGAATTCATGTTCAAAGCCCCACCTACCTGCCATTTGAAAGACCGTCTTTGGGACTTGTTTCCAACCTTTGCCAAACATGCATAATAGGGTGCTGCCTCAGTGGGGGGCATTTTTAAGTAACTGAAACCCCCCACAAGCTGGGCTGAGCAAGCTACAAACTGTTTTCCTTCACACGGTGAGACCAATTTGTTTGGTCTCTAGAAAAGCAGGGCATTGTTCTCCATTCAGAGACGGGCAGGTACCAGTAGGTTAGCTGCTTGGTTCCTCACCCAGCTCTGTGCGCAGGTCCTTATCTTTCCTATCTCAATATGTGCAAATTAAAGCATGACTTTAGGCCTTGGTAATCCGTAATCCATAAGAGAGTAGTATGCTCCCTCATTTAGGTTTACATTTTCCTGTCCGTGTGAGAAGCTTGCCCTGCAAAATGTAATCCTGGCTGTTTGATTAATCTCAATCTTTTCTTTTATAAAAGGGAGGGGGGGAATTTAAAGGTGAGACATTTGGATAAGCTCCACCCATGCTTCCTGATCTCCACATGGAAAATGGATCAGTCTGCTAACACGTACAAGTGCAGCTTTACCTCCGTGGATGTAAATGAATGAGAGAGTCAGCACTCACCCTTTAGCAATCCCTGACCTGCAGTCAAGGGTCAGAGAAGCAAATCCTGTAGCAGGCATGAGGCAAAAGCAAAGAGAAAGCTGAAAATAAAGGCTGTGAGGAATGGAGGCCGAGGTGTGTCTGGCAGCCATACAATAAATTGTCAGTAGTTAAAATAATCTCTCATGCCCTTTTGAAAGTACAGCTAAGACTATGATTTGCAAAATGGCTCTTACGATTGGCTATGAAAACTTTCTGGTAAATAGCAGGAATTAAAAATCATGCATGATTCTTAATGTTGCCTCAGATTCTCAAAGTCATGGGGTTTCGTATATCAATTTATTAGTCATCCCATGTTTACATAATATGCTTTACTGGGTTAGTAGGGTAGTGTTAAAAAGGAAATTTGTACTAGAGTCTGCCATTCAGCCAGGTTAGGGGGAAATATTGAGAAAATTTAAGAAAGTTAAACCTCCAGTCAGAACCTAACCAAGTGGGGGAGGTGGGGGAGGGGAGGCTGCTCTAGGAAATCTATTAGATTCCTTTTAACACCATTAGAGCCCCAGGAAGGGTGAAAGAAGCAAGGACTGTGTATGTTTGTATGTGTGTTGGTAAACCTGCTGGTGTGGGGTGGCTAAATCAGGCCCCAACAAATTACTCTTAAGACAGCAGCCACTTTTCAGGACTGAGAGGGCACTAATATGTACAGCTAAGTCTTTTGGGGAGGATTGGCTGTCTCAACTCCTCTTTGCTAGAAGTTACAAACAGAATACACTTTTAGGAAATATACAGGAATGCAACAGGAGGATAGTCATATGCTGTAATACATAAATTTATGTGTGTGTCCCCCACACCATACATATCAAGAATATTATAGCTATGCATTTAAATGATGAACTATAAATTGCAGTAATTGAAAAAAGTGCCCAGTTTCATCACAGTAATTTTGGATTGGCTTCACCCTTATTCCACAGTGTGGTTTAAAATAGCTGCGTTTCAGAGGAATTGGCAATTGAAGTTTGAGATCATAGTCATCTACCACTAAATTGCAATGATGAAATATACACTTGATGGCATATTGCAAACTCTGCCCTTTTCATTCCAACTTTAACTGCAAGTATGTAATCCTAGGGTTTGTGTAACAACACGAGATGCATCTCATCTCTTCCGTCTTGATGCCATCATTAACTGGCTGCCTAGGTATGAGATATTTGGATTTTCTCATTACAAAATATTAACTCAACCCACTGGTAGGAAAATGAACAAAAGTATGTGTGTGTGTATATATGTATGTTAGTATTGTTAGAAAACCTGAATAAAAGGTTACTAAAGCAATATATTGTATAATAAATTGCATATGGACGCATAATATTTCTGAATAACCAAACTAGTTTGCTGTAAACTACAACTTTTAGTATGGTTGCATTTGCTTTCACAGCATTCTCTAACTTTACCCAAACTAGAGCAAAAAGTTGCAGAAAAATATGAAAACCCTCAGAAGTTATGGATTGTATTCACAATTCTTAAAGTAATTATGACAAAAACCTTTTCTACAGTGTTCTCTCAGATAAGATCAACATATGAGAAACAAGTACATCGTAGTTGAAACAGCAAGAGATGGTTTTTTTTCCTCATGTGACAATATTTCTGAGGCTGAATGGAAATTTGAAATCACAATATACCTACTGTACTTGCATGTATTCCCACGTGGCACAATCTGAAGCTCTTGAGAACCTAAGTTTATCCCACCAAGGATTCCAAATAGTGCCACCCAGTTGTAATTTTGATTAAAGTTAAAGGGGAAAATATTTAAATCAATGACTGGAGAGTAGTAATATTGCATTTGTTTACATAGAAAGAAAATATAGCTGGTTCCGCCTGCTGTATTTTGCAACGTTCTCCCAAGTGGCCTTCAAGTTCAAGGGCTGCTCTTGGCTGACTAAACAGCATGCAAGCCAGGGCATGTCATTGTTACTCTAAGGTAATTTATGAAGCTGTTAGAAGAATATCTTCCTGGATCGCAATATAGTAACAGGATTTTTTTACTCTGAATTATTTCTGGTTCTTCAGGTGCCCAAATATTTAAAAGTTACGACGTTTACTTAGACATCAATTTAATTTAATGGCATTTATTTCGAAGAATCACAATAGTGTGATAAGGGTAAATAGTGTAATTTGTCCTAATGGCCTATCTGATATCCAGAGTGGAGGAGTGTGTGGGTTTTTATAGTGAGAATTACTCTTTCAGCAATATTAGTTCACAAACATGTCAATATTCCTGGGGTGATGTGCAGACAAACCCACAGAATGCTCAAAAACTTGGGTCTCTTGAAAGCAAATCACTTTGTATTTCTAGTGCATCTATTTTAAAATGAACTCTTATTTATTTTATGTCCTTTGAGATTAGTAAGTGTCCCAAGTAACTCTTTCCCAAGTAATTTATTAAAGAATGGGCTTATGCTTAGTCAATGTGCTTTATGATGTGTATAACCCGCTCTAATATACCATCCACAGAGGTGAGTGATCCTTTATCCAGGAGCCACATCTCTTAAGGGATAATCCACTGGAGGTATCCAAAGTTGGGCAAGTAAGCTAGGACCAAGCTAAGTTTCAGTGGAAATTCTTATTTTCTCTCTGGACTAACAGATTGCAAGGTAAGAACAACTAGCTATCCTTACAGGATCTTAAAAAGGAAGTTGAAATCAGGCTAACAGCAATACCAAGTTAGGTCAGGAGCCATAGATTATCCACCTCTGTCCCAGTAGTAGAAATATTGTCTTTTCACTGTTCAAAATCAGCATGAAACACATAATGTGCTTCTTTCATTCTTGGCATCACTTGACTTGCTGATTTGCAGTTTTCCAACAAAGGCATAGTTGCAGCCACACTATTTTTATGAAGCTATAAAAATCTAAATCCAATAGTCCATTACCCTGTTGATTATGCCTTCCCTCTTTTGAGTTTTACTGTCTTTTTACACTATCATCCTGCCTGTGCCCAATGCCAGCTTCAAATAAACCTTTTTTTTTCATACATACTGTACCTTAATTGTATTAGTTATAATATTCCAGAGAACTGCTTTTATAAAAGATTTATTTGCCAATTTTAAAACCATACATAAAGTTTAAAACAGGCAGGTCGTATCTTTAGAGATGTCTCCAATGCAGCATTGTAAGGCCAGTATTCTGGCTCAGTCTTTGAAGTCTTTTCAACATGGCATGAAAACTTTAATTGCATCCTTTTATTTCCATTACAGGACATTTCCCTGAGAAAGTAACTTTTTCTTAAGTAAAATTTGTCATTAATTTTAAAACAGGCCTTGTGGTGTCAACAGCTGTGTTCTGGAAGCAGAGGTTTCTTTGGCCCAGGGAGGGAGGGAGGGGAGGGTAGTCAGAAGATCCAGGAGGGCTTTCCAAGGTTTCATGCCACACCATTGATAGCTTCTTTAAGCAACAATGCTTCCTCCACCTCGCCTTGTTGTGTTGTCCGCTTAATATTTTCCATATGAGATTGGCCACTCTTCCACAAAATAGACTTTTCGTGTTTGGTTTTAAAAAGCAGACCGTGACCTGAAAAAGCAAAAAAGAAAAAGAAAATAAATCCTGGATGGGTAGTTGCTGAATAAGAAGTGGAAAATATTCCATTCAGAAGGTTGCTGTATTGAGCAGAAAACTAAAATGATCCCAAATATAAATGGCACTATCAATATGATCAAATGACTAAAGTGGAATAGACATGAATTTTAAAAAGCCACTGTGCAGAAAGTGATTATTTAAAGGGAAAGTAAAAAAAACAACAGTAATTTTATATCTTTATAAATTTATTACTAAATTTATTACTTAAAGACAGGATTCTCTCTAAAAGTTAAAGAAACGTTTATTCATGACCACTTGCTGATCTGATTCTGTGAGTTATTTTTGTGTGACTTGATTAAAGAATGTGGCTTTGTATTAAAACTAATGTGGCTTTCAAAATTCATACAATTAACATTTTTAAAAATAAAATCCTTACAATTTAGCTCCTAAATCACATACATCGGATGAAAATAAAACCACAGCAGTTTTTTTAAAATGATAGCAATTAGTATTTCAAAAGAGAGAATTACTTTGAAAGTAAATTTTACATACAGGATCATAGCTTAATCGACTGTGGTTAATACATTCTAGGACTATTTGAGGAATAAAGGGTATCACTGTCATGCTATAATTTGGATGCAGTCTTTTTTTTGGTAGGAAAATCTGCTTTGATTTTATTAAATTAAGGATGTTACTTCCAGGAAATACTTCTGATTTGGCTTTGGGGTAAATGGTATTTGAAATGTAAGCTATATGTTTACACATGTAAAACATGCAACAGACTTTAAAATTCATTCCTTTAGAAGCACTTTGTTATTTCGAAAAACAGAGTTTTGGTTACATAGGCACTCACCAGGACAATCTGCTGTCTCTCTGAAAGCTCTTTTCTTACAGCAGCCTCGACACAGATTAAATACACACTTGTTACCCTAGGAACAGATGCAAAATAGTTATCACATTGCCAGTATGTGGGGGTAGTTAAAGTTCTATGTAATCCCTGAACTAAAGTGTGAAATGAATCTAAAAACTGAGAAAAAAATTCTTAATAGACTGCAATTTCATAAGAAAAAGATAATTCACCCTCCCTTTAATAGAATTTACTGCTAATCCAGGAAAAAAGGGCAAGACTTAAAAGAGGGATATCCATCTGTTTCAAGCCTCCCAGGCTTTGCTGAAACCTTTTAAAATGTGTCTCTCTCATGCAGATTTATTTAAAGATCTAGAACAGTGACAAAGTGGACCCATCCATTTTAGAAGAATCTAGGTAAGCCTTACGCACCATGGCAAATCACATCACTACCATTAAAGCATTGACTCTTGCTAACACTTCCCACCCATGTAAGTATTTGGACAAAATAGCCGTCTACTCCCAAACTATACAGGTGTGGACTAAAGATTATAATATTAATTTTACGGTCCAGACAGATTACACCTATATTGGGAGAAACATCCTACTGAAAAATAACCTTAATACATGAACTCTGCTCCCCCACATTTTCACCCCCCAACAAGCTAGTGTCAAGAAACACTGCAGGTTATGGATTATCCTGATGATCTCAAGCTTCCCCAAGATGAAAATAGCCAATGTTCCACCAGCTGAAAAGAATTACTGATAAGTTTGTATTTCAGAAGATGGGATTAGATTTAGAATAACTTTAGAATATCTTTTTAGCATAATTTATATAATCTGGTGGAAGTAAAATCTATTAGGCCCTCTGACTAATAAAATAAACACACAAGCCAAAAGCACAACAAATTCAAATGTTTAGTCAGTTATGATCCCACCATAGGCAGTACTAAATGCCATCTTTTCTTCCTGATCAGATGTTGACATCCCTGTATTATTTGTCTATAATTATCTTTGGGAAAAGAGAGCAAGGTCCAGTAGTCGATTATTCAGCACAATCACAGCAGATGGTTTATGACTCAACTCCCTTATGGATATAAATCTATTCCTTATTTAGTTTATCTATTCCTTCTATGTAGAAAATGTTAAGGAATCCATTAAAGATTTGGATAGCATTATGCTTCTTTTTACAGGTAGGCCTCGCTTAGCAACCATAATTGGGACCAGCAACTCCATCACTAAGTGCTGCAGTTGCTAAGCAAAAATCATGTGACCACGACAGTCTTATGACTTCACTATCCCTTTGGTAGTTAAGTAAACCACCACAGTTGTTAAGTGAAACATCATGTAAGTGACATATTTTATGTTAGCCTTCTGTATTTAACACTGCTTATTGCAAGCCAATGGTGAAGCACAGCAATGGTGATCATATGATTGTAGGACACTGCATCAGTTATAAATGGGAATCTTCTAGAAAATAACAGGGCAGTAAGGTTAGACTGGGATATGCTGTAGGGCTTCTAAGAAAACTGTACGGTTGTGTTCATGAAACCAGCAGGAATCAAGTCTGACTTGAAGACAATGCCTTTTTGGCCTACCTTTCTAAACAAGCATCTTACATCATTTAAGCCTATAACAAGGACATATTATAATTAATTTCTTATTAACATAATGCTTATGATTTTATTTTAAAGACTAGAGGATGAAATAGTTTTAATCATTTAAATTTTTAGACTGCAATTTACTGGGAGGAATATTATTGAAACTATGTTGTAGCAGATCCCTTGGCTCAACACAAAGGTTTTAAGCATTTATCATTCAACTCTGGTTGTAACGATTAGCCCATTAATGAAATTTTTAAAGATTCACCTTTGGATTTCCACACTGATCACACTTTGCATATTTAGCTGAAACAAGGAAAAATGAATTAGTTTTCAGGTTATTTCAAACATTTCCCCTAAAAAGTGACATACAATTTCTGTCTCTTGAATTTAAAATCAATTCTGGGGAAAAAATAGTAAAAGAGATTTTTAAAGTACCCTAATTTAAATAAAAAGCTAGGAAAAGATGCTGACGATGAAAAAAAATACAATACCTGTTGAAGGCAACACCTTTTAAAAGGCTAACAGGGTTACAAAAGAGCAGGATAGTATTTCTGCTTGCAACTCTTTTGCAATATTCAGTTGGCCTAATTAAGATGTTGCCTCAAATAGTTTTTGAAATTAAATGTTCTACTACAAGTATTAGCTAAAAGACCTAACAGATACCCAATACCCAACTTTTACCCTCAACCACCACCCTACCTCAACCACCTACCACCACCCACCATCACCCAAAACTACCCACCACCCACCATCACCCAAGACTAGGCACGCACGCCCCCAACTACCTCAATCCCAACTGCTGCCGGACTTAAATGCAAACTACTCAATGCAAGAAGCCTCGTGAATAAAATACCTGAATTTCTCATCCTCTTAAATATGGCTAACTTCGACATTGTATTTGTCTGTGAAACATGGCTCAATGCATCTCTCCCCGACTCCATTACCACAGTAAGAGACTATCATGTTTACCGATCAGATCGTGAAAATCGTCGAGGAGGTGGTGTCGCTATATTCTATAAAAAATCCTTACATCTAAAAAATATCCAAGTTACCCAGGAGCTTGCCCTTCCTGAAACCATCATCTGTGAACTATCCTTAAATATCACAATTCGATTCTTACTATGTTACAGAGCACCTGATTATGACATCGAACATGTAAACAAGCTAAATACACTACTAACATGGGCTACATCCTGCCCATACCCTTTTATCTTTCTTGGAGATTTCAATCTACCTCATATCGACTGGACCCTAAATAATTGTACAACTGAAATCATACACACAACCTTCTACAATGCTATTACAAATCTAGGTCTTGAACAACTAGTAACCAACAACACTAGACTAAACAACTGCCTCGATCTCATCTTCTGCAATAGTTTGAATTTAATTTACGGAATACAAACCAAAGAACCCTTTTCCAGTAGTGACCACAATATGATTGACTTTTGCCTCAACATACGTCCACACAAAAATCACCACAATGATGTCATCCCTAATTGTAACTTCAAAAAAGGCAACTATGATCTTATAGATAACGATCTCTCATCCCTCGATTGGCAATCTCTATTCACTGGATGCAATACTGTTGAAGACCATTACAACATTTTTTTTACTTGAAGTCAAAAGAGTCATCAAACTATATGTTCCAACAACAACTCCAAAAACAAAACAAAAAAGCAGATTACCCATATCAATAAGGAAACTTCAATCCAAAAAGAGATCACTCTGGCGGAAAAACAAATCTGGTCACGTTGCTAATTTCAAAAACCGATACAAAAATTTATGCCACCAGATAAAGACCGAATGCACCAATTATCACATTAAACAAGAGGAAAACCTTCTAAGCACCAATTCCACCCGTGCTTTTTACAATTTTGTAAACAACAAACTAAAAGACTCAAGGTCCATCCCTCCCTTGATAGGACCTGATGGTAAAGACTGCAGCGACGACACCATTAAAGCCAACATCTTTAACACATTCTTCGGCTCAGTGTTTGTAAACAGTAATGGATCATGCCCAATGTTTCCTAGCCGTACCACAGATAACAACAATGATCTAATACATATCGATTTTACAGTAGACAACGTTGAAAAAGCACTACGCAATCTAAAACCATCTCTATCTATTGGACCGGATGGAATATGTGCCTACTTCTTAAGAAAGCTATCCACTGCCATAGCCAAACCTCTAAGCATAATCTTTGAAAAATCTTTCAGGACCAGCTCCTTGCCTAACCTATGGTTACAAGCCACAGTCATCCCTATCTTCAAAAAGGGAGACCCAAGCCTAGTTGAAAATTACAGACCAATCTCCTTATGCTGCGTCACCTGTAAAGTCATGGAATCAATTATTAACCAATCCATCATCCTCCATTTAGAGACAAACAACCTACTCTCCAATAAACAATTTGGTTTCAGAAAAAAACTATCCTGTAATCTGCAACTCTTACACTGCAAAAACATATGGACTACACAACTCGACCAGGGCAAAGCAATAGACGCAATCTACATAGACTTCTGTAAAGCCTTTGATTCAGTGGTACACGACAAACTACTCCTAAAAATAAAATCTTATGGTATCTCTGGACAACTGAATAACTGGATAGAAGCATTCCTGTCAAACAGACAACAAATGGTCAAAATCGGGAACGCCCTATCAAATCCAGTACCTGTCAATAGTGGTGTTCCCCAAGGCAGTGTTCTAGGACCAACTCTCTTCATAATCTACATGAACGACCTTTGTGATCATATCAAGAGCAATTGCGTTCTCTTCGCTGATGATGTAAAGCTGTTCAATACCACAGACAATACTACTACCCTACAAAAAGACCTAGACTATGTATCTGAATGGTCTAACATATGGCAACTTCAAATCTCAACAAACAAATGCTCTGTCTTACATATTGGTAAAAAAAATCAGAAAATAAAATACAAGATGAATAGTCAAGATCTTGTTGATGACCCAAGCTCTGTAAAGGACCTGGGAATACTCACCTCTAATGATCTAAGTGCTAGAGCCCACTGCAACTACATAGCCAAAAAGGCATTAAGAGTTGTTAACCTAATCCTACGTTGCTTTTTCTCTGGTAATATCTCACTACTAACCAGAGCATACAAAACATTTGCTAGACCAATACTCGAATACAGTTCATCAGTCTGGAATCCTTATTACGTATGTGATATTAACACAATTGAGAAAGTCCAGAAGTATTTCACAAGAAGAGTTCTCCACTCTTCTACTCGTTGTAGAATACCTTATGCCACCAGACTCGAAATTCTAAAACTAGAAAACCTTGAATTACGCCGTCTTCGGTCAGACTTAAGCATGGTATATAAAATCATACATTGCAATGTCCTACCTGTCAATGAATACTTCAGCTTTAACCATAACAACACAAGAGCACACAACAGATACAAACTCAAAAGTAAACCGCACCAAACTTGATTGCAGGAAATACGACTTCAGCAATAGAGTGGTCAATGTCTGGAATACTCTACCCGACTCTGTAGTCTCTTCCCCAAACCCCAAAAACTTTAACCTTAGACTGTCTACTATTGACCTCACCCCTTTCCTAAGAGGTCTGTAGGGGGCGTGCATAAGCGCACCAACGTGCCTACCGTCCCTGTCCTATTGTTTCTCTTATTCTATTATTTTTCTTATATGTACCCATTTCATATATTCACAACTATGTATACACTTGTACTTATTATCTTGTAAACAATTGACAAATCAAAATAAATAAAAAAAAAATAAAAATAAAGATTTATTGAAGAGAAAACAATATAGAGAACAAGACAACCAAGAATTAAATTTGTCAGTTAAAGCTGTTCTTATAAAGATACTTTGAACAACACTTAAAAACATTCCACAATCAACAGAGGACCCATTCATGGAAAATGCTCAGTGCTTTTGTTCTGTCCCAAAATTTCAGGATTATCAAAATTTGTGATGCAATTACTCCCCTAACATGGTAGCATGCATTTTTATTTAACCATTAAAAAACAATCATAAAAAAAAGAAAAGATATTGATAAGTGGACAGAGAAATTATAAAAGTTGAATAATTGGTGCTTAGTATATTTTTGATAAAAGGTAAACCATAAAAAGCAGAATGCACTGAATTATTTTAATCAAAAAGCAACATTTTGGGGATCTTTTTACATCTCTGAGTTGAAAGCTGATTTTATGCTTGTCTATTTTTATTACTTAAAGATAAATCATATAGGAAAACAAAGGAAAAAAAGAAAATTTATTGATAGATTAATTAACATTTTTTTTTCTAATTTTATTATCATTCGGAGCATAAATTGCAATCAAGAGTATTTTTATATTGTTGTCCATTATTTCCACCATTAATACTCTTCCGTCTTCATCAGTATAAATCAATTTTGCTGGGATGGCCTCTTTAATGTATAGAACCACTCCTCTTTTCTTGCATTGAGTCAAAGAAGTAAATATTTTCCCTAATTTTGGCTGTACTAACAATTGTTCATGTTGTTTTTTAATATGTACTTCTTGTAAACAAATTATATCAAATTTTAATTTCTCTAATTTATGAAAGGTTTTCCTTCTTTTTTAACAGCTGAATTGAGTCCATTTATATTCATTGTAATCAATTTTTTTTCTTCCATGATTATGCTTTATATTTAGGTCTAACAGCTCTCGTGGATCTTACTTCACGCTGTTCTTTGCTATCCACCTGTCCACCTACTGCGCCTTCCTCTTTTTCAGTCTCCAGTTGTTCCTCTTGAAACTCAATTAATGAGACCTCTTTCTCTGCCTCTTCTTCTCTCCTTCCAAAAAATTCTGCGTGGAAAAGTTCTGCTTTCTCAATTGAATCAATTCTATGTCTCTGTTCTTGCCACATAAACATTAATCCTTCTGGAATCAGCCATCTATAATTCACTTCTTTTTTCAATAGCGTTTTGGTCAGGAATCGATATTCTCTTCTCATCTCTCTCACTCTTCTGGGTATTTGTTTTAAAACCACAATCTCTTTGCCTTTGTATTTCAACGTCTTCTCTCTTACAGCTTGTAATATTTGTGTTTTGATAGATTTTTTGGTAAATCTGATATGGACTTCCCTTGGTAAGTTATTTCTCATCGCATATCTTGTATAAACTCGGTATACCTCGTATACTCCATCCATCATCTTTTCCTCTGTAATTTCCAAAGCATCCGCCAACATTTCTATCATTATCGCAGCCAAATTTTGTCCTTTTTCTTCTTCTATATTTTGAAATCTGAGATAGAATTCTGACCTCTCCATCTCCCACCTCAACATCCCACTTTTATCTTGTTCAACCACTGTTAATCTGCTGTCAATATTTCCAATCTTCTCCTCTCTTTGTTTACCTTCTTCCTCAATTTTTTGGAATCTCTCATCATACTTCACCATCATTTGTTGAATATTTTCCACTTTTTCATCAGTCTTCTCTGTTCTTTGTTCAATAGTATCTGTTTTTATCTTGAGATCTTGGATTCCTTGCATAATCATCTGTAAAGTCACTTTTTCTTGTTCTTTATCTTGCTTCAACATTGCCTGAATTAAACGTTGTCCTCCAGCTGGTGGGGAGGCAGAGTAGAGGTAGAAACGCCAGAAGGTATGGGTTTCTTGCTCATTTTGGACGCTTCAAGATCTTCAAATTGTTTTTAACTTTTAATCCAACTGGTAGAATAGCCAATTATAATCCAAAATGGAAAAATCCAATAGTAAAAAGCCCGATGGCAAAAAGGAAAAAGGAGAAAGAGAAGAAGAAAAATCTTCAGGTTCTTCTAGACCCTAATCCAATTATAAAGTAGTCCACAATAAAAAATGAAAAATAGAAAGAAGAAAAAAGCCCAAAGATAATAATAATAATTAAGAAAAAAGAACAAAAGTAAGGAAAAAAAGAAAAAATTCCTTCAGGTTCTTCACACCTTAATCCAATTAGGAAATCTCAATAATAAAAAGGAAAAGGCAGAATGGTCCAAAAACATGGATGGAAAAAGCAAAAAATCCCAGTAAAAAAAAGGAAAAGAAAAGAAAAATAAAGAAAAAATTCTGAGGCTTTCCCTTTAAAATAAAAAGCAAAAATAAGAATATTACTAAAATTAAAATTTACAGAGAGGCTGGTAAGGAGGGGTACCACAACTGAAAAGAGATAAGAAAACACACTGCACTTTGTTTAGTTGTCCAAGGCTCTTATTATGACTCTCTTCTCCACAAGCTTCAAAGCCAAGCCTCAAGTGTTAAAATGTTGATAAGAGTCCAGGAAAGCACCTGTGATAATATTCTGCTGCGCTCTTCCCTCTATCTTATCAAATTAAAATGTCCTTGAGAAGGAGTATTTTCACAGTTCTCTCCAATTCAAATAAAATATTTTCAAGCCTCTAGTTGGCAGTGTTACAAAATTTCTTAATACACTCCCCCCTCCCCCCCGCAGCCAGAAAAACATAGTTTAAGTTGAGAAAAAAGAGAAAATATTTACATGTATATATATAAAAAAGAAGAGAAAATAACCAAAGGGAGCCTCTGTCCTAAAAGAAAATTAAAAAATCAAAAAGGAGCATAAGAAGTAAATATATATATAAGAGAAAATTCAGTCCGGTTAACTACAAAATCACGCTAAAGTCCAGTAAGAAAAAAAGTAAGAGAAAGAAAAAAAAATCCAAGCCTCAATTTGACGTTCCTTTAAAAAACGCCGCTCATAGTTTTGTCAAAAAAATCTTACAGGTTTCTTCTCATATTCAGAGTGTCCTTTCAAATCTCAGCAAGTTAGCAAAAAAAAGAAGTTTCTCACCCAGCCAACACACTTTCACTTTCAGCCTCTTCCTTACCGGAGCTGTCCCGACTTCAGCAGCTATGGAGGCTGCCTCTCCGCCGCCGGCAAAAGGACTTCTCCCGGATCAACCAGGGACTTTGCGATGTCCCTGGGATCCACAGAGTGTGCCTTTCACGATCACCGTCTCTATGGGACGGTTTAGGTCCGTTGGGACCGACCAGGGGCGAAAATATCAGCTGCGATCTCAGAGCCCCGAGATTGCAGCTGTATCGCCGTGACGAAGCTCCGCCTTCTCCCCCGATAGATTAATTAACATTGATATTCACTGGTAATGAAATATTTAGTTTCTAACTTCCCTTTTGTTACACTCTGGTATGTGATATTTATAAAGATTTAAATTGGTTACCTGTCTCTAACTTCGGATCTTTTAATTAATTCTTTTTCCCCTTAAAAAAGATACTCTTAATGTTTAAATTTGCCATACTGTATAATTATACACTGAAATTGTTCTTGCTTGAATTTAGTCAAACTTCTATTGTGAATATATGCTGTTAATTCTCCCATTGTTGCATATTCTCCAGGTTTAAATTCCCAGTCTGACACCATTGGAAATATCTCTTTTCCAAAGTTGCACTAAATTTATTCTTGGGACGGTTAATATGGATCTTGGTACATTGTGGTATTTTTGTTGTTAGGTCCTGGAATTATGCCTAATTTTTAAAAAAAGGACTAAATTCAAATTCTGGTTTCCAAACTTTTTTAAATAGTACTGTCTACAAGTAGCCCTATTTATCTGTCTATTCAGAGGAGCTGAATAGCATTGAAAAAATGGACTTATGACCCATTCTTGCAGTTGTTACAGTACCCCTTGCAGTCACATGATCAAAATTTGGGTGCCTGGCAGCATGCCCACACTTACAACCACAAGGACACCGCAATTGCAACTTCTCCTGATCTTTCCCTCCTTTTGGCTATCTCGCTTCCCAAGTGTTGTGAGAATGGATGCGCTATTTAAAGAATGGCAGACTTATCCATTCCCATGAGACCAGGGTAAGACAAGAAGGTTTCTGAAGCATAATGAGAAGGGGATGTAAAGCTTGAAGGAATGACACATCCAGTGTGAAGAATATGAACTTCCGAAGCACTGCGAGAACTGGGCTTCTGCCATTCTCCAAAGAGGAGGGTATTCCCCTACCGCCGTTCTTTAATTGCTCTTCAAATGCGGCAAATACAAAACTCTGGCAGCTTTTGATCCTTTCTCTCCCAGCACAGCGATGGCATCTACTCCTTTACTGTCCCACCTGGTGCTAAGAAATCCCTGTCCCTCCATCTACCTTTGCCATGCACTTAAATACAAAGAGGGACTATTTGTTTAATTGCACAGTCACCACATTTTCCAAATGTTTACTTGGTGACCTGTAGTTGCAGAAATTTTGAAAGATGCTGTTCCCTATGCTTGAAAAGAGATATTTTAGAAACATACATCTCTAATGCTTCCATTTTTAGTAGTTATACCCATTGACTATATTCTACATAGCTTTATAACTTACGTTTTAATGAAGGATCAAAGCTTTTGTTGGGATTCCTTAACTTCTTCTTTTGTTTGTTTTTTGAGAGAGAATCGGAGTTCCCATCTTCTTCTTCCTCCAGAGCTCGTTTCCCCCGAGTAGTTCCTTCTATGTGAGATGGGGCAATTTTGTTGCACATTTCCTTGGGCCTGTGAAAGTTGAATATGAAAATATCTAAAATGCAAGGCAATAATTACTCTCTTTGCTAACACCACCAATTTAGGACCCTATAGAAACTCCTTAAAAAATAGCAAAGCAGAGATACATGTCTCCTGCCATCTTTGTTCCATTATAGAAAAGATGAGAGGTCATGTGAGAGAAGACTGACTGGATAAACAGTGACAAATATCAGCTATAAAGATTAAAGAGTATACCAAATAGGTTTTTTTAAAAATTCGCTTCAACATCAACTCCTTCAAAAATGTTGTTGCTCACGATCTCTTTTCACAATGATGTTGCTTTACTGTTCTAATTAACAAAGAAAGTTGAGGACATCCATTTATGTTATTTCCAAGTAGCTAGGCCCCATAAAGCAATTCCACTAAGTGTGAGTAGAAATGCCCTTCTCTCTTGCATTAGAGTGGGTCAACCCTAGAGGAAAATGCTCGGACCCGAAGGAGTAACATACATGCACACCTCAATACACACAAGGATGGCTACTCGGAGGAAAAATATCACCTGTTGTAATTATCATTACAGCTGTTGTTACATGGCAGAATGGAAGAAAGTCAAGAGTGTGATGGACAGGCTTCTTAAGTTATCATTCCAGTGCTATGTTCCTTCACCTTGAGGATTACTTTGGTAAAGTGTATATATTGCAGAAATTAATCTGTCAAATTAACAATGCAATATAAGCACTCACCCTGGTCTTAGGTATGGCTGACAAATCCAGTGAAAGAAAGGTAATCCTCCCTTTGGCTTCTCTTCTTCCTTCAAATGCGCTATTTCTTCCTATATAGAGAGCAGAAGCAATGAGAAATTCAATTTTTATAGGGAAGAACCACCCTAGCCTGATAGAGCAAAAATGAAAATAAAAACAATGCATAAACCAATACATAAGAATGTATTAACCCAGAGTTCCCCAACTTTTCCGGCCTTGTGGACTGGCAGAGGGAGGGCTAGAGGGGATGGTTCTGCATGAGCGGTGAGCAAGTGTGCACGTGTAGGTCCATCTAGGTGAGCACTGGGCACGCGTGTCTGCCACTCGCACAAATGGTGCCGCTGTACACGTGCTCACCCTCTGCTTATGTAAGTGGGTTTGCGTGCATGTGTTTGCCTGTCCGTTCTGCTGTCTGACTCTGAATGGCTCAAGGACCAGTTGTGGGGAATCCGGTATTAAGCTATTCAATGAAACTAGAAAATGGAGTCTGGAAATAGTATGCTTGTGCATTGCTTTGGATTTGAATCCAATTAATTTGTGGGCAACTCTTTGATGTAGTCATGGCTGTTCCCAGGATTGTGTTTCCTTGGAGCAGGGCTGTCAAACTCCCGCCCCACGGCCCGGATGCGTCACGCTTTGGCCATGCCCACGCCCTGTTTAGCAAAGGAAAAGGTCCCGATACGTCATGTGACACCACTGTGATGACATGAGTTTGACATCCCTTTTTTGGAGGATGAAGAATCTTCAAATGCCTTAAATAAAAGTAACACTAAGCGGGTAATCCTGAAGGTTAGTGTAGTAATTTAGATCAAGCATTGTTCACCTTCTTGGATAGGAAATTTTGAGAACTGTCAGCACGCTGGAATAGCAACCTTCATCACAGAAGGTAAGCCAGCCATTTAGCAGAAGTTGTCCCCATCATTCATTCACCCTGCCTCTTTTTCCTACTCATCATTAACCTTACTCACAAGTGCTGTTTCTCTAAGAATCAACTTCTGGCTCTTATTCTTTCTTACACATTCCTTTACCCCTAACTCACACAAAGACACCAAAACAAATCTATTCCAACTCCCTACTGCTAACCCCTGGCCTCCCCATACGTTCTGCATGCTCCTTAGCTATCAACAATAGCAGTGGCAAAGCCCTCTTTCCTTTTTTGCTTCCCTTTTCTATTTTTAGTAAGTCTCCAAGCAGACAACCTGTATAACCCGCCTACTTGCTAACTCTATTTTTTAAGAAACCCAGTGGGCCCAGCTGTAGCCCAGGAGCAATAGGAAGAAATAAAGAAAAAGCAACTGGTTAAAATCTGCTGCAATTATTACACACTTTCAGTAATAAGTTGTTGTTAAGAGACATCAGCTTATCTTGTTTGACAAATGAGAGGTCCTATATGTCAACTCATATGCCTGTTTTCAAGTTGCCATAAACGGGGGGAGTGAAAAACTGAAGGAGCATTATGGCAGTTTAAAACCAGAAGTACATTCCACTCTTATCTACAAAAATTGCAGCTAGGCTATCAGATCTTCTGGCTTGAAGCTCATGATTTAATTAGGGCAATCGCAGGAACCCTATGTACCAAACTTCAGGGCTATTGCAACACTCAAAAGCATCAGCTGGTACCTGGCAATGCAACTTCAGCTCCCTGTTGACAGCCAAGAGTCCTTCCAGTGTTTTCACTTTTGCTAATTCATCACGTAACTGCTGGTGAACCTGCAACCTGAGGGAAACCAACACAAGTCATAAAGAGGAGATTTCAGTCTAACCTTAGAACATGAGATGTACAGCTTCAGTTCTCCACTGCCATGAGATTCCGTTCCTTATACTAACGGGGGTGGAAATCTGCTGAGAGATATCGCATAAAATACTACAAACAGCAGAATCACTCACGTGTGATGCCAAAGCTTGAAGAGATGAGCTCTGACATAGGACAACGGGCAAGGATATTGCTGTACTATTTCTAGGTATTCCTCAGCCACCTCCCAGACGACAGGATTTCTTCCTTCAAATAAAGCGGGATTATGAAGATTGCCCTCTAAAAAAAAGAAGAAAAAAAGGTAAGCAGTTTGGCCTTAACTGAAGGATTCCCAGTGGGAATTAGCTGGTGTTGAGGGGAGTTAGAAAGCAACAGCAAGTTAAGCACTTCCTTCTCTTGCTTCCAAACCTGTCATCCAAATATTCCATATTCTCAGTGCCTCTGCAATCACACTTTGGAAACCCGAATTTATGACAGGTAGTCCTCGCTTACTGACTGTTCATTCAGTTACTGCTCAAAGTTACGACAGAGCTGAAAAAAGGAAAATGTCGACTGGTCTTTGAATTTGTAGCTGTTGTAGCTGATCGTGCTCCTCACAGTCATGTGATCATGATTGGGAACTTGACAACTAGCAAGCAGTTAGGATGGTTGCAATGTCACATGATCACATGATTGCAATGAACTCCACAACCAGCTTCCAACCAGCAAGTCAACTTCCAGCAGGAAGTTGTAGGTTGCAGTATTATCATGTATAATAATAACATGTATGATAATAGTGAATCATAACATGCATGATTCACTTCACAACCACAGCTGATGAGGTAAGTTGAGGATTGTTATGTGATGTTTCATGTTAAAACTGCATTGCTTAGTAATGGAGTTGTCAGTCCCAATTATGATTGATAAGGATTAACTATATGTTGCTCACTCATTCATATTTCTCAACACAAAATTAAAATCTGTTTCTTGCTATTTCAGAACAGTAGAGATTGTTTTAATCTATCATTTTACCTCCTCTGTGAAATTAATGAAGCCTTATTTATCTGATATTCTCATGGAACTTCATAGTTAGCATAGTTAGTTAATTAGCCTCAATCCCTCAACTATCCCGACTTTTCAAAATTAATATTTCAATCACTTTCATTAGTATTAATAGGGAGGGGTGTACAAAATGTTTCATATTAAACTGCTTTCAAGCATGAGTTTTGCAAAATGGGCTGTTTCACACATTGCGGAAGCATTTCAAGTTCATTAGCCGCCCATATGTGCTTGATAGCGAGATGAGTGGCACATAAATTTAATAAATAAATTAAATACATAAATTTCAATACCTCTTGACTGCTTGAAAGCAGGATGCTTTGCAAAAATTTTGTGATCAAACTATTTTGAGATGAACCATTTTCACACTCCTGGACAATCACCAATGTTTCAGGAAAAGCACTTCTCTTCCAGAATCCAAATGCAAGCTAAGAAGTATTAATATGTATATACAACCGTATTTCATATCTTTTGTTTCTCCATCTAAAACAATAGATTTTATATGCAAACTCAAATTCATATTTAAATAAACTATTCAATAAGCATGTTATAATAGCCAGACATTCAAATCTTGTAAGAGCAGATGTCTTCAAACTGTGCTCCGTGGAACCCAGGACTCCCCAACAACTTGATACAGTCCCTTGAAAGTCTAACGTGTTGAGGGAGAAAAAAAGACCACTTGAACCCAGCCAATTTTCTATCACTGGAGCTTTACAACCAAATCGGGGGTTCAGGAATTTTTAAAAAACTAATAGGTTCCTTGCCCTGCAAACCGCTAAAAAAACAAACCTTGTTGTACAGCATTAATTACCTTCTCCACTTTTTTAATTAAAGCACTATGCATTCCAAAGGATGTACCGGTTAAGTCTTCATGCCGTGAACGATACCCATGTCTCCTTTAGAGTCATCTTATCAGTAGAAAAGCATTTGTTTTTCCTAGTAAGTCATATGCATTCTTTCATCAAGATTCCATGTAATGCCTATGCACCTTGGAGCTCTTGTTCCTGGCTCATCTGGATGCAAGAGACCAATGTCTCTGCTGACTGCCAGGGGTTCAATCCTCACCGGCTGAAGGTTGACTCAGCCTTCCATCCTTCCAAGGTTGGTAAAATGGGGACCCAGACTGTTGGGGGGCAATAGGCTGACTTTGTAAACCCCTTAGAGAGGGCTATAAAGCACGTAAAGCGTTATACAAGTCTAAGTGCTATTGCTATTAACTGCTAGCTTTAAAAATTAATCATTTTGAATCCTCTTCAGTTGTTAGTACCTTTTGTGTGAGTTATCCTCTTACAGTAACTATCCTATTTTTCCAATGGTCAATATTAATGTTTGGATGGGTCACCAAGTCTTTATGGTAGATTGGAAGAAACAACAACTAGAATAGCAATAGTGGAAGAAACCCACTTCAATATTGTTGCAAGAATATGACACCACTATGTTCCCAAAATCACCAGGAGTCTTGACAGAAGATTATGTTATCATATTTGGCACTGCTGGTCTTTGCTCGGAAGATTTAAATCGCTGTTTTAAAGGATAATGAAAGCCACAGAAACCGCAGATAGCCACACTATGAGCAAGAATACTTATCATTTAACCTCAACAGTGAGATTGAAGAGTTTCTTTTTCTTTCCTACCTGCGCTCATCACGCCCTGAACTCCTGTCTTCTGAATACACCGTTCCACATCTTTGAGGTATTGAATGTTCCCATTTGCAAAAACAGGTATTTTTACAGCCTTTCTATGACAGCAAATGGAAAAGGAAAGGTAATGCATAAATAATAGAAACTTTTAAGAGCAGCAAACTCTTAGACTCACCAGATAATATTTTCTTTAAATTGAAGGCTTTCAGTGCCCTGAAAAAACCTTTTTAACTAACACTGAACTTGAGGACCAAAAGCAGGGACCTTGTCTCTCTCTTCCAAGTTACAACATTCCTTCCAAGATAAAATATTCAAGTCCTACTGACAATTACTGTGCTCAGAGAACTAAAGGGCAGAACCTCTGGCCTTTCCCATTGGTCAAGATGTCACAGTTAGAGAACAGATAGTAAAAAAAGAATAACAGAAAAAGGAAATCGACTTAAATGCCACGTGGCTCACAATTTTATTTCATTCTGGCTGTGAGAAACTAATCTCCTGCCTTTCTTATAGTCCCTCTATTATTATTCTCTAATGAGTCTCGCCTTCTGCAGAAAATAAATTTAAAGACAGGGTCCATTTCTTTGCTTTAATTCATGTGGGCCCATTGGGAGGCAGTAATTATCTAAAAGATGAGATACAAATACAGTGAATCAATCTACATACATTCCCTTCCCCAGGTTAGCTATGGGTATTTACCTCACAGCCTGTATGTGTTCCCAGGAAGCCACACCAACAAGAGGTCCCTTCTGTTCTTTAGTGCGCCCATGTACAGTTAGAAGCTACAACAAAATTGTATTAGTCTTTCAGTGTGAATGAGACAAACAATCTTAGAAAATATTTCATTTCTCTGTAATGCGAGCTGGGTTTTTTTAAACAAAGTCAGGAATTCCAAATTCCACATCTAATTTCTTCAGATAACATTACAGATAGTCCTCAATTTACAACCACAACTGACCCTGAAATTTCTGTTGCTAAGTAAGGTAGTTGCTAAGTGAGTTTTGCCCCATTTTAAAACTTTTTGTCACAGCTGTTAAACTGCAGCTGTTAACTGAATCATGCAATTAAGTGAACCTGGCTTCCCCCATTGACCTTGCTTGTGGGAAGCCAGCTGGGAAGGTTACAAATGGTGATCATATGACCTCAGAACACCTGAAGGTCATAAATATACACCAGTTGTCAAAGGCCCAAATTTTGATCATGTGACCATGAGGATATTGCAATAGTCATAAGTATGAAAACCGGTCATGACTCATAAGTCACTTTTTTCAGTGCCACTGTAACTTTGAATGGTTACTAAGCAAACGGTTGTATGTCGAAGACTACTGCACAGGTAGTCCTTGCTTAACAACCACAAATGGGACTGGCAACCGCATCACTAAGCAATGGGACAGTTAAGCAACGCATCATGTGATCATAATGGACTTATGACCTCACTTCCACTGTGGTCATTAAGCAGATCACCTATGATCATGAAGCAAGATATCATGTGACTGCAGCTTGCAATTCCACTGCCAGCTTCTCCATTGACAGAAGCCAGCTGTGAAGTGCACAGATGCCATAGAAAATGTGACCATGAGATGCTGCAACAACTGGTAACGCAGTTGCAAAGTGCTTGAAACTCTGTCACATGTCTGTTGGGATGCTGTAATAGTCAGAAGTATAAGGAACAGTCATAAAGCTACTTTTCCAGTTCCATCATCACTTTGAATGATGGATAACAGGGCAATTGTTAAGCGAGGACTATCTGTATATTTTATCTCACATACTAAAGCTTATTGGAAGATGGAAAATCCATATCTATTTTATATAAGAAGATTAATAACTTGTTACTGACATCAAACCACATTAATTATCTTGACTTGTATGCTATTATTTTGCCAATACCTTCTAGTTAGTGGGATGAGAGCAGCAGTATATTGGCCATATTAGAGATCCTGAGCTAAATCTGAGCTTTAATTGCATTTGTCATACATGCCGAAATTCATCAGTATTAATCTTATTAGTATGGTATTAACTCAGCAGATTGCTGAATATGGCAAGAGTATATGACTAAGGCTTGTAACATCACACCTAAATGACTGTGGGCGGTTTGAAAACCCATACACTGCCATGTAAAGCTACAATATATTGTTGGCTCTGAACCCAAATAATTGTTTTGTTAGCAGTAAACGTTAACTGACTTTGTAAAGTAATAAGGAATAATCACAGACCAAGGTAGTTGGATTTAACCAAAAGACTGGGAATTTCTAAACAATATCAAAAAAAGAACAAGTAATAGAATTTGCATATCTTGGTAGGATGTTTACAAAGGCTTAGAAAATGGAGATGAAACATTAAAATAAGTAAATGCTGACAGACAGACCATGGGACTTAATGTTTCTGGTGTAGGAATGAATGTTTGTTGCAACAAGCAAAATTCACTATGGGTAATAGCATACTTTTTCCCACTTCATTGCACAGAAATGAGAATTGGCTATGTCAAGAAAAACATGGAAAAAAGTTAAATGCAGGAAGAAAAGGATTACTTAAAAAGCAAGGGAGGTAAAATAAGAACAGATGTGGTCAAGAATTAAGGAGTGGTTAACAAATGTGGTCTGAACACCAAAGTGAGTAACCAGTATGAAAAACTATGCTGATGTGGTTTGATCATAAAGAGAATGAATATTAAATAGTCAAGCCAATACAAACTTAGAAGAGAACTGAAAAGTAACAACTGAATAAATTCTATATCATTCTCAAAAAGACAGAAGTTGAATCAAGTAAAGACAATGTATGAAACAATGCGCAGATGTGGTGAAAGAATGGGTTTTCAAGGATAAAATGTGGAGAGGTAGAGTGAACAGTATCAGTGTAAATTAACGTTTTCTCATGTTTGATTTATGTCTGAATTTACATTTTCCTTCCTACTTTTCTGAACTTTGTATAACAGTTAAGCTGAAGGAGAATAGCATGATAGATATGTACATATACGTATAATTAATACATCAAAACAAACTGTAATGAATTCCTTACCTGGCAACCAGCTTTCTCTAGCAATTGAGCATATTTCACAGTTTTACTAATTTCTGGGAAAACACGGATTTTGCATGTAACAGGTACAGAGAGCTTTTCATTAGCCAATGCAACTGGAAAACAAGAGAAAGAAACTGGTTGAATCCAGAAATGATATTACTAGCAAAACAAATAACTGTAATCCCATTTTCTGGTACTCTACATTCATTAACCGCACAGCATAAATTGCTGCATGTATTCATTATTACAGGAATAAATAACTACTAGGCCCTAATGTCCCTTTGTGCATCAATTCTACATTTGCAAAAAGGTTCTGTGGATGAAAGAACTGTCTATAGTGGATGGATAATCCACCATCTACTGTCTACAGTGTCAGTGACCCCAAAGCAATGATATACTTTAAAAATATGAGCCAGAGGCCTATCATATTGGTTACGGCACCATTTCAACTCAGTGTTGGGTTGAACAGTCCTCTGCATTGGGAAATCAGGAATCATCTGCCAGTTCTATTTTATTTTATCATATTAGCTATAGTAGTCTTCTACTCATAACTAGCAAGACACAACTTTATATACAGAAGACGTATGAGGATACAGTCCAGTTAACTGTTGGTGGAATTACTTTGCATCCAGCAAACCCTACAGAATTATTTTTTTTGTATTGTCAAGACAGAGGGACCAGTTACCAAAATCTATGTTTATAGTTTCCTGTGTCATCCAAACAGGATGGGTGCAGTGTAAATCTTTTGCACAGGAGTCCCAAGGACAAATATAATGCATTTTGGTTCTACTCTTCTCCCGTTCCATCTAATGTTCAAGAACTTTCAGGACCTACTCATTCTTTGGAGAAGGTCCCACTCCTCTTGCAGGAATGCTCCATAGTGACCTAGAAGAAAATCCAAAGAATTATGCCCTAATGTTAGATACATAAAAAAGCCACAGCACTTTGTTCTTTTTAGGCTCAAGAATAAAGATGGACAATATATTGGAGAAATAAAAAGATTGATTCTAGGGGGAAAAGTGACAAATTAGACTAGAAAAAAATGACTGTGCATGGCAAGCATAGATGGTGTAGAAGATAATCTACAAGGTGGCTTTTCCTAGAGAGTTCACAATGACAAGTATTTTTTATGTAGTCAAAGGGAGTTAGGCTGGACTTGATGGCACTTTACTAACTCATTCCTTTCAAGGGAGGCTGGTCCTGGATCAATGTATGCAGTTTTGTGGTTTAAATTACTTTAGATTCCAACTTATGCATACCTCTTTTTGCAATCATCTGAGGACACCCCAGATTCAAGTCAACTGCATCACAGTAGTCTTGAGCTAACAAGGCAGCCTCAACAAACACTTCTGGATCATTGGCACAGAACTGTAAAAGAAATATATAAGCCAAATAGTAAGCTAGCATTTATTTTAACATCAAAATAACAGAAGCATTTAGCACATTTATAAAAGGTCACTATGCTATTAAACACCTTCTGTATTGTGTTATTAAGCATGACAAAATATTTTATATACTTGTCCTTCCCAATCTAAGTAATATTGTTGTGACTACCTGACAAGTTTTGATTATAACTTTCCAGTTAAAAACTCCTTGATTCATCATAATAGCATCACCTTTTTCCCACAACTACCACCATGTGGGATAAGTTGACTGGGAGAGAGTGATTGGTCAAAAGTCATCTAATGAATATGAGTGACTGATGGGCTTGAACCTAAGTCTTCTTTGTCTTAGTCCAACATCTTAATTCTTATATCACACATGCTGAGATTACAATTCTTATCACTATAGTAAATGTCTGTGGATTATAGAAATTAGTCCTTGAGTGGGTGCATTAATTATTTTAAAATTATTTTTTCTGAAATGTCACACAATACAGAAAAATGTACTGTACAACAAAGATATGAAAGTCCATTGAAATCATCTGGCCAGTATTACCTGTACAATCAAAGGTCTGTCTTCCGGGCACACTTCACAATACAAGTTTTCCTTACGATAATTGGCATCTCTGACAAAGACCTGAGCATGCAGCATAGGAGTATAACATAGGTGGGCCCCATGACGGCGGCTTAACAGTCTCCAAGCCAATTCGCTTTGATCCACCATGGGAGCAACAACAAAACGGGCCCCTCTCAGTGTGTTTTTCCAAAATTCAAAGCCCTTGGGTTTGGGCATCATCCTTTCACTGAAAAGAAATACAAACAGTAAATATTAATATCCTCTTATTCATCTTAGAAGGTAATTTTAATATACATTAACTGTATTCAGCAACTGATATTAGTTTTTTCACATGGTACCCATTTACTATTTCAATTTATTATTTGTGTTGTTCTTAACACCTACATACAGTAGTCAAATGCTCAACACTGAGCATTCAAAAGAAAAAAGATCCAGACTTCTGTTGTATACTTAATACTATATTTGTTGTTGCTGCTCAGCCACTAATGTCTGACTCTTTGCAACCTCATGGACCACAGCATGCCAGACCCCCATCCTCCACTGTCTCCCTGAGTCTGCCCAATTCATACCAACTGCCTCAATAACACTATCTCATCTTCCGATGTCCCCTTCTCCTTTTGCCTTCAATCTAGCCCAACATCAGAATATTTTCCAATGAGTCTTCTCTTCTCATTTGGTGGCCAAAGTATTTGAGCTTCAGTATCTGTCCTTCCAGTCAGTGTTGATTTCCTTTATATATATATACACATATACACATATACGTATATGATATATATACATATACACATATACATATATGATTGTATAAAATTAGAATGGAATGGGAAAAGGAATAGAATTAGAATAGAATAACAGAGTTGGAAGGGATCTTTGAGGTCTTCTAGTCCAATCCCATGCTCAGACAGGAAACCCTATACCATTTCAGACAAATGGTTGTCCAATCTCTTCTTAAAAACTTCCAGTGCTGGAGCATTCACAACTTCTGGAGGCAAGTTGTTCCAATGAGTAATTGTTCTGCCAGGAAATTTCTTCTTAGTTCTAGGTTGATTATCTCGATTAGTTTCCATCCATTGTTTCTTGTCCTGCCTACAGTTGCTTTGGAGCATAAATTTGACTCCTTCTTCTTTATGGAAACCCCTGAGATATTGGAATACTGCTATCATGTCACTCCTAGTCCTTCTTTTCATTAAACTAGACATACCCAATTCTAGCAACTGTTCTATATGTTTTAGCCTCCAGTCCCCTAGTCCTCTTTGTTGCTCTTCTCTGCACTCTTTCTAGAGTTCTTTTTTACAATGTGGAAACCAAAACTAGATGCCAAGTGTGGCCTTAACAAGGCATTATAAAGTGGTACTAACACTTTGATTGTATCCCTCTATTAACGCAGCCCAGAACTGTGTTGGCTTTTTTGGCAGCTGCAGCACACTGCTGACTCATATTTAAGTGATCATCCACTACATAGCAACTATATTATTTAAATTATATACTTAACATTTGTTAACAAAATTGCTGAATAGCAAAGATTCTGTAGTTTAGGATACATTTCCTACAATTTTTATATTCTATGATTACTATTTTATGATTGTGAAAATCCTGCAGAATAATGCAGGATTATAAAGCAGGGTTCTGTAAATCCTGTTTTATAATACTACAACATACATTTTATTTTCCTTAACTTGGTAATCTAACTTGCCCTACCAGAGCTTATTAATTTTATCTTGAGAATTAAAATCAAATTAAAACAATGCTAACCAGAAAAACAGCCCTATGAAACACTTCTATCTTCTTGGCTGCAGGGAAACCAGATCTGCCAGATCAAAGCTTAAATATAAGTGACAAGCAACTTATTTGACTGTTTCTTGTGTGTGAAATTCACATATTTTGCAATTAGTTTCTCTCTCTCCCCTCTTCTATTTAGGGAAATAGAGAAAGCCGTTATCTGATAATGGCAAAACTGGCATATCATTTTTACAAGGTGAGGGAGCCAATCTCTATATGACTGGATTACCTTTTGATGATGGCCAAGCATTAATCTATACTAGATCTAGCGGGGAAAGCCAGCTATCTTACATAGGGAGACTTCGTATGATTATCTAAGAGAGGAAAGAGCGAGGGCTCTGTGTAGTGCCTTGTTGTCTCCATGCGGCAAGGGGAGCCCATGCCGGCTTCCATCTAGATTCACCTTTTTGAAAAGCGGCTGCGGCGGTGGCGAAAAGGCGCTACGTTACAAAGCGGGACCCCGCTCACGGTCCTGCCGCTTGGCCAAACCAGCCCAAGCCCCGAGCTCATTTCCCAGCCCTGCTCTTCAAAGAGGGCAGCCCTCTGTAATAAAAACCAGGCCAGGAGCCCAGCCCGCCTCCCTTCCTCCGGCACCTCAGCACCCCCGCTACCCTTCCCCTCCGTCCGCCCAAGCCGGAGCCCCGATTGCACCCGACCCTGAGACGCCGTGGCTGAGACCAGGCGGGGCCATTAAGCCCCCCTCAGAGAACGCACCAGTCATTTCAGTCCGGCCCGCGTGGGAGGGCGTAACCTCGAACAGGCCCCCCTCGGAAACGACGGCGCGGAAGAAAGAGGCCGGGCGGCTTCTTCCCGGTCGCCCGGCAAAGCCTCCCTCCTCTGCCGGAAGGAAAAACCACGAGAGGAACTTCCTGCTTTTATCGCGGGGCGATACTTCTTAGCAGGGTTCGGGTATCTTATCTCACGGCTCAATTTGTGTTTTAGCGCGTATGTGAATCCAGGCGATTGCATTAGTCAAGGGCATCAACGGTTAAATGAGAGGAGCCATAATTCCCCCCCCCCGTTCCTTCCCAGTTCCCTGAAAGTTGTAGAGCATAAGCGCACCAACGTGCCTACCGTCCCTGTCCTATTGTTTCTTTTTATTTTTCTTATATGTACCCATTTTATGTATTCATAACTATGTTTATACTTACACGTTATCTTATAATCGCTTGACAAAATAAATAAAATAAAATAAAATGAAGAGTCGCTCTGTTGTACTGAGCTGAGGAAAGTCGGCTTCCCCGGAAGAGTGAATTGACGAAAAATAATGTAGGGTTAGGTTAGGGTTTCTGCTTTCCGGGAAAGACTCGTTAGAGATTCTCAGTCATCCAGGTCACGGTTGTCCCGAAGGTGCTTTTTCTGGAGGCAACTGGACTTCTGCTCTACAGACTTTTAGCTATACAATTTGGGATGAACACCCTTTGAATGGTGTGGGAACAGGAATGGATTTCCAGAGAAAAAAATTGCAGACTACAGGAACCAAACCCCAAAAACTTTAACCTTAGACTGTCTACTATTGACCTCACCCCTTTCCTAAGAGGTCTGTAGGGGGCGTGCATAAGCGCACCAACGTGCCTACCGTCCCTGTCCTATTGTTTCTCTTATTCTTTTATTTTTCTTATATGTACCCATTTCATGTATTCACAACTATGTATACATTTATACTTATTATCTTGTAAACAATTGGCAAATCAAATAAATAAATAAATAAACCAGGAGCAGGACTCAGGTGACCCTGAGGACACAGCTAAACCTCCAAGTGCTTCAACGGGGATGCAAATGACCAACTGTCTGCAAGGAATATAAATCCTTCCATTCCCCACTATCCTGTCAGTGCTGAAGAAGCTTCTTGGATGTCAAGCTTCAAAAGAAAAAACAAGAAGTCCTGTTGCCTCCAGAAAAAGCACCTTTTTGGGGAAAGAATCATTTAGCAGTCTGCCAAAAAGTCAGCCAGCATCTCTCCTGGCTCAGTTTCAGATCACTGCAGCCCCTTCACTTTATTGTGGCAAAGCCCCACAGATTTTATACTCTTGAGGTCACCTTTCAACAGCATGGAGACAAGGAGAGAAAATGCTCCTCTATTCTGGTACAGCTGACGAAGAATCTCAGGCTGGGATGGAGATGAAGGCAATGTCCTAGGGCAGTGATGGCAAACCTTTTTGTTGTGGGGTGCCAAAAATGTGTGCATGCTGGCACCCACAATGCAATGCATCCTGCCCCTCCTGTGCATGTGCATGCAATACCCTGCCCCCCTTACCTGTACTGTGCATGTGCATGCCTCCCAGCTGATTTTTGGCCACTTTGAGGCCGTTTTTGCCCTCCTGGAAGCTCAAAGGGAGCCTCTGCAGCCTCAGGAGGCCAAAAAACGGGCTTTCTGGAAATACCAGAAGTGCCTGTTTTGTGTCCTAAGGCTGCAGAGGCTTCCCTTGAGTCTCCAGGAGGGTGAAAACGGCATCTCCCGAGCTCCAGAGGCCCTCCGTAGGCTGAAAATGGGCACTTCCGGTATTTCTGGAAGGCTTGTTTTTTTGGCCTCCCGAGGCTGCAAAGGCTTCCTTCATGCCTCTGGGAGGGCGAAAACGGCCTCAAACGGGCTGACAATCAGCTGGGAGGCATGTGCATGCACAGTGCAGGTAAGTTTGACTGGGGCTCGCATGCCTGCACAAATGGCTCTGCGTGCCACCTCTGGCATGTGTGCCATAGGTTCGCCATCACAGTCCCAGGGGCGGAGCAGAAATATCTTCCCAAGAACATTTTGTAGCATGGCCAGGATCAAATGAGAAAGGGATAATACAGGTATGTGTGACCACAATTGAGCCCAAAATTTATGTTGCTAGGTGAGACATTTGTTAAATGAATTTTGCCCCATTTTATGACCTTTCTTGCCACAGTTGTTACATGAATCACTGCGGTTGTTAAATTAGTAACCCAGTTGTTATGTGAATCTGGCTTTCCCATTGACTGTGCTTGTCAGAAGGCTACAAAAGGTGATCACATGACACCCAGGACACTGCAACTGTCATAAAGATGAGTCAGCTGTCAAGCATTAGAATTTTGATCATATGATCATGGGGATGCTGCAGCGGTCATGAGTGTGTAAAAGTGTGAGAAATGGTCATAAGTTACTCTTTTCAGTGCCGTAACTTTGAAAGGTCACTAAATGAATTGTTGTAAATTGAGGACTACTTGTAGTTTTGCTCACTCAGTTCTTAGATGACTATTTTGTTGGCATGTGAGATGCTCATGTCCTTTGTGCAGTATGAATAGAAAGAATCTCCTGATAGTGTGCCAAATGGAAAGATAAGTGTCTTTTTATTTTAAAGTATGTACTTTTATAGTTTACATAATCAGATAAGTATTTCAACCTCAGACTTCAGTATAATGGTAACGCAGCATGGCAGAGGACATGGCTCATGACTGAAAGTGGAGACAGCAGACCTGAAATGCTTACTTTGTTATTTTGTTCAGGGGCTTTGGATAAAATTAGGGGCAAAACTGATATAAACATTTCAGGCCTGCCCATTTCAGGAGGCTCCCAGGACATACATGGGGTGCTAAAGTCTACAGATTTGTAATCCCTGACTTATTGACAAGAAATCCTGTTACCAATAAATGCTGACATTAAGTGTTAGTCAGATCTAATGGTGAACCCCGGGCCTTGTACTCTGCTGTTCATTGTGCTTGCAGCTTGAAATCACAGCAACAGGTAAAATGTAATTTCTAAAGTAATTTGTAATTTGCTGTCTTTTAAACATTATGTTTTAGGTCTCATGACTTCTTTATCAAGTCAGACTCCAATTTTGCTTTATATTGAGTTTTGGAAAGATTTTGTCTGATAAGATAGCCAATATTAGAGGTAATCTTCAATTACAGCTGCAGTTGAGACTGGAATTTCTGTTGCTAAGTGTTGCATTGCTACATGTAACATTCTGCTTTATGACTGCATCACTTAGCAATGGCAATCCCAGCAATCCTGGTTGCAGTCTAAGACCAGAACTGCATGGGTCATTAAATGAGGGCCTCCCATGACTATATGGGAAGAGGCAGGAGTCCAAGGCAAGCAGGCTGGCAGGTGAGAGCCATGGATGACTGCTAAGGCTGGACAGGCAAATTCAGCAGGCAGATGCTAAAGAGCGTAGGCAGATGCCATGGGCAGCACTACTAAGCGTGGGTGGCTGTGGGGGTATCACAGGAGGCACTAAGGAGCGTAGACAGGCACTATGGAATACGAGTGGGTCAGGTGCCCGGAATGGGCAAGTACCATAGAGTGCAGGTGGATATGGGTGTCCAGGCAGGCAAAAAAGCAACAGGAGCATGAGTAACTTTGCAAGTGAAAGTCACAAACTTGATCACATTACCACAGGACACTGCAATTGTTGTAATTGTGAGGCAGTTGCCAAACACTCAAACCACAATCATATAACCACAGGGATGCTACAATAGCCACAACTTTGTGGCCAATAGCAAGTCCCCCTTTTTCAGCACCACCATAACTTTGAACCATCACTGAACGAGTGGCTGTAATCTGAGGACTACCATACATATGTTGCCTTTTAGTATGCAAAAGCAGTAGCAGCCATGGTTTGGGATACAAGGTGGGAACTTCCTGACATGTCATTGTGCTATGGGATAATGGGAAGATGCTGATACTTTAAAGAGAAGCCTGAAGAGGAGGCATTGTAAATTAGATTGTGGTGAAATTATAGTAAATCCATCCATCTGGCAAGTGATATCATGCACTACCTGTGAGAATTTCAAACAGACAGCTTACTCAAATAATATTTGTGACTCAACTGATTCTGATTACATAATGATTTTTACATTAATTTATACACACACCCAGTTGTACGCAAGAGACTGTAACAAAAGTGGCATTAGGTATTTATTTGAGCAAATTTTATTAAAAATATATTTAACTAGTTACAAGACCTTGCTGTCTTGCAATAAACAGTGCAAAAGCTATGACTACTATTTCCTGACATCTAAGTCCCAGTAGTTGTTTTAGGTTCCAGTCTTGGCATTCATGAATATGTATGTATGCAGGTAGGTAGGTAGGTACGTATGTATGCGTGCACACACACACACACACACACACACACACACACAGAGAGAGAGCTAATTTTAAAATAGCTTTGGTAGAATATTTGGTTGCAAGAATTGTCACCCATTAAATTTATTTCTGCTACATTGTCCTAATTCAGAAATATGTATTTAATTTTTATCAACAAGCATTCAAAAGTGAGTCAGTGGTTCTTGCTAGACAATAGCTGTGGAGCAAGTGAAGATGCTTAAAAAGTGGAGTGAATATGTGGTGGGCCCTCTTTTCCTCCCAAGATTATCCAT